TATGCAACCACGGCTGAGCTGAAGAAAACACTGTCAGTACCTCGGACAACCCAACTGCCCGTGGGTCCCTCCCTCTCTGTATCACTCCCTCCCCCGGAAAATAACACTGCCCTGATTCGGTGCTCATCCCTCCCTTATTATAACTACTGCGCACGTGTTATATCCCTAAATGACATATGGTTTTGTTTTGCTACGTTTTGAACCTTTAATTTTTTTTCACTCAATACTATGTTTTTTGAGACCCATCCCTATAGCTAATTATACCCCTGGTTCATTCATTTCACTGCTGTAGAGTATCTCATATGACATAGAGTGTCTCATGAGCATAGCGTAATTTATTCAAACATCCTACATTTGGGTTGTTTCCTGTTTGGGGCCATAAGAAGTAAAGAAAGAAAAAAAGGCCAAAATTCTAACCCATGTCTCTAACACACACACAGGGGTTTCTCTTAGGGGTCTGGATCCAGTTTCATGTGCTTCTATTTAGATAACCAATTGTCCCCACCCCATTATTTTTTTATTATTTTATTATTATTATTATTATTTTGTTGTTGTTAATCATCATCTGAAGATATTTTTTTCCATTGCTTTTCGGAGAGTGAAAGGGAGGGAGGAAGGAGGAAAGTGAGATAGGAACATCGATGTGAGAGACACACATCAACTGCTTGCCTACCCTACTCACTCTGACTCGGGGCAGGAGCAAACCTGCAATCCAGATACATGCCCTTGACAGGGAATCAACCTTGCAACCCTTCAGTGCGTGGGCTGATGCTCTGAACACTGGCCAGGTCCATACTCGGTTTTAAAAAATTTTCTTCCTTTTCCCACTGACAAGCCGAGCTAATTCTGTGATTTATCCAGTTTCCACATGTGGATCTGTTTCTAGGTTCGCATTCTGTTTCGCTACTCTATTTGTCCATCTCTATCTTTATACCCATATTGTCTTAATTTGTGATAGCTTTATAACAACTTTTGAAATCTGGTAGAGTAAGTCCACCCATTTTGCTTCTCTTCTGGCTATTCTTGGCTCTTTACTCTTTCATATAAATTTTAGGATTACCTTTATCAAATTTTACCTTTAAAAATCCAGCTAAGCCCTGGCCGGGCAGCTCTGTTGGGTGGGTGGAGCGCTGTTCTGTACACCAAAAGGGTTGCAGGTTCAATTCCCCTTCAGGGCACATACCTAGGTTTCGGGTTCGATCCCCTGTCAGGGTGAGGTAACTGACCAATATTTCTCTCACCTCTCACCTCTCTCTCTCTCTCTCTTTCTGCCTCTCTCTCTCAAATCAATAAAAACATATCCTTGGTGTGGACTAAAAAACTTTTTTTTTTTTTTTTTTTAACTTATTGCTATAATGTTAACTGTAGGTTTTCTGCAAATACACTATCAGGTTAAGGAAGTTTTCTTCTGCTATTAGTTTTTAAGTGCTTTTTATCATGCTTAGAAGTTGAATTTAATTGAATGCTTTTTCTGCATCTAATGATAGGAAAATACATCTTTTCTAATATGTGAATAGAAATGTGAATACAGAAAATTGTATATAGTTGTGTAATATTGACTCAACCTTGTATTCCTAGAATAAGGCCAGTAATTCTGATCTTTTCTCTTGGAGAGTCAGAGAGGTGAGACGGCATCAGAGTAGAAACTCACTAAACTGTCCAATCCTAGCCCTTCTTGTTCACCTCAAGACTCTGTCTCCTCTATGGCATCGCTCCTGAGCTCTTAGAGCATTTACTACTTTTTAAAAGTCTATTTTTATTGATTTCATAGAGGAAGGGAGAGGGAGAGACAGAGAGAAACATCAATGATGAGAGAGAATCACTGATTGGCTGCCTCCTGCATGCCCTCTACTAGGGATCAAATCCGAAACCCAGGTATATGTGCCCTTGATTGGAATCGAACCCGGGACCCTTAAGTCCACAGGCTGACACTGACACTGAGCAAACCAGCTAGGGCTAGAGCATTTACTATTGACAATGTTCATTTGACACTTGATGTGCTATTCTATACACCTGTTTCCCAGCTAGAATACAAGACCCTCAAAAAGCAGCAATTAGTAAGCACACAACAAATGCTTTCTTAAAATGCTTGACATATTTTTTTTGGATAAGATGATGAAGCATGAGTTGCATAATATTGCAGCATCCTTAGAAAAGGAGATTCTTGCCGAAACCAGTTTGGCTTAATGGTAGAGCATGGTCTGCGGACTGAAAGGTCCCGGGTTCGTTTCGGGGTCAAGGGCATGTACCTTGGTTTCAGGCACATCCCCGGTAGGGGGTGTGCAAGAGGCAGCTGGTCGATGTTTCTCTCTCATGGACATTTCTAGCTCTCTATCTCTCTCCTTTCCTCTCTGTAAAAAATCAATAAAAATATATTTAAAAAAAAGAAAAGAAAAGGAGATTCTTGGACACGAGTTTTCTAGAGAGATGCAGCTTTAATCTGCTAACATTCACTGAAACTTACAAATCATTTTATTTAAAAAAATGTTTTTATTGATTTTTAGAGAGGGAGGGAGAGGGGTAGAAACATCAGTAAGAGAGAAACATCCATCTGCTGCCTCTTGCACATCCTCTAGTGGGGATCGAGGCCACAACCTGAGCTTCTGCCCTGACGAGGAATCAAACCAGTGGTGACTTCTTGGTTCGAGGGTTGATGCTCAGCCACTGAGCCACACAGGCTGGCAAAAAAATCCTATTTAATTGTACTCCACTCGTTCCTGTTTTGTTAATAGCGTTCTGGCTATGCTTTATACTCCCCCCCCCCCCCCATGTTAAGCCTAATTTAACTTTCTTCTTGTTGAGTACAGTCTGTCATTAGGATCATCAGTTATGGTATTGTGCTAAAGATACCGCTGTGGCTATAGAACGTGTGGGATGCAGAACCTCAGCTATGGGCCTGAATGAGTCTTTAATAGGGAAGGAAAAAAACTGGCATTTCCCTCTTTGGCATTGACCTCTAGTTAACTCTCAGCAGCGATTTATACATTCCTCCTCCACTCTCCTCCTCCCTCCACCCTCTTCTACCCCAGAATTACACAAGGCACAGCTGTAGGACTGGTTCGGATTTTTTTTTTTTAGCAGTGATACTGTGAAAAGTTACCATTTCTTCAGATTACAGCCTTCCGGAGCTCGTTTTTCCATTGTAGACTCTCTTCTCTGAACCTGCTCCTAGATGACCTCCTCGCTGCTTCCGATTGCTAGAATCGACGCAGCACAGGCAGTCGCTAAGACCCTAAACCCCGGAGCCAGGCTGCCTGGGTTCAAATCCCAGTTTGACGTTTACAGTTCAGTCCCATGACAAGTTACTTCACTTCACTATTTCTCCGTTCCCTCAGCCATATCATGAGAATGAACATCTATCTACCTCACGGGATTGTTATGACAATGAGTTAATATTTATAAAATGCTTCGAACAGGGCCTGTCGTAGAGTCAATGGTAAATAAATGAACAAAATCCTGTCAACTTGAACTCCCACCACTCTCTTATTTCCGTGTCTCCTAAAACGACTCCCCTGTGTCTCCCTGGGGGTTGTGGTCCTATTGGTGGTGGTGGTGGTAGTCTCTGGAGGGGAGGGGCGGTGCAGATATAACTAAGTGATCCTAGCAATCCTTCCCAGGAGTCAGTGCTGCCCTCAGGCATGGGAGGTGTGGGGGGAGGGGGGCTTGTCAGGTGCATTTCATTACCCACTTTGTCAGCCAGGCTACAATGAGGAAGAAACATGGAACTGTTCATTGAATCAACATCTCAGGGACCTAGGGACATGGGTGCCTGCTGACTTCGAGTGCTGGCAGGAGTGGGATGGAGAAGAGATGGCATTTAGAATTCTGTGGACCAGCTCCCGGCTTCCCATCACAGAACAGAACACGTTTACAGAAGGGACGGGCGACCAGGTGTCAAAGGATGCTGTAAGAAAGGGTTGTTTTTGTTTTTTTTCTAAAAAACTGAGAGTCAGGTAGTCTCGAAGATTCCCTCCACCTCGAAGATTTGGGCAATACGAGTGAGTCATCAGGACGTTGCATTCTAGTCGTGAGTCACACACCGCCAACGCGCGCCCCCAGGCACAGGATTCTTCACACACACACACACACACACACACACACACACACACACACACGCCCGGCACTTGGCACACAGCTCATCCAGGTGAGGAATTCGAGCCCTCGGGCGGCCCACGGCTCGGCTCGGCTCACGGTAACAAAAACTTCTCTAAAACTAAGCGCATCCATTAGCTGCTTCCAGACTTCGGTTAGGACCAGCAAACACCATAAACCATAAAGCCCAAGTGGAATTTGGCAAAAAAAAGGGAAAAAATAAAAGATGTGTATCCTGATTAGCTCTCAAACAGCCCTTCACTTCACTCTCCCGAGGCGGGACAAAAGCCAGCGGAGGGAGCAGGCAGGTGAGGGACAGGGCGGGCGGCCCGGGGCAGGGGAGCGGGAGAGCCGCACGCACCCGGCGGCGGGCAAGGGACAAAGGCCGGGGGAGCGCTGGAGCAGGAGGCGGAGGAGCCCCCGCCGGAGCGGCCAGCAGCCCGGTCTGAGCTGGGAAAGCAAACGTGAGCCGGCAGCGGGTTAGAAAGGGGCGACGAGGAGGGTCCCTCTGTGCCAGCGGGGGCCCCGGCCAGGGTCCTCTCTGCCTCCGGGAGCTGGGCTCGGCTGCCCTCCCTCCGCGGGGGGCCCGCGGGGCCAGGGACGCCCGGGACGCCCGAGCCGCAGCCCCGAGGCCGGTCCGGCGGGTCCGGCCGGGGCGCACCTGCCGGCCGGCACTCGGTCCGCACCGGGACCTGCACCCGCCGCCTCCCCCGCACTCAGCCCCCGCGGCCTCGCCTCCGGATGTCGGAGGGTCCCGGCTCCCGCCGCCTCCGCGGGTCCCCAGCTCGGACAGGAGGGCGGACACGCACGCCGTGGTGCGGGCGCGGAATGTGGGGCAGCGCTGCCTCCGGCCGCCATCGCGGGCCGCGGCCGCAGGAGACGAGGGGCCGCGCCGGGAGCCACTTTACCTGGGAGACCAGCGGGAGCAGCGTCTGCTCCACCGAGCGCGTTTTGATCTCGAGCCCCGAGTCGAAGCCGAAGCTGGACGGGCCGGAGCCTGGCATTGCCCCGGCGCCGCCGACGCCCGCGGTGCCCGGAGAGGCGGCCATGGCCATCCCCCGGGTCGCACAGCTCGGACGCCGCGCCACTGCGGGCCCGCCGCCTGCCAGCCAGCCAGCCCGCCCGCGGCGGCGGCAATGCACCCGCGCCGCCCGAGGCCCCGCCCCGCCCCGTCCCGTCCCGCTTTACCGCCGCCGAGCCCCGCCCCCTGAAGGCCACGCCCCCACTAGCACCAACGCCCTCTGATCGGCTTCGCCCCGAAGCCCCGCCCCTAACCCGGGCCCCGCCCCGTCTGTCCCCGGAGACCGCTCTGCAGTGGTTCCCACGCACGTCTCGACCCACTGGAATAATAAACAGGTCACCTGGGGGCCTCCCGCGGCCTCTTACCACGACAAGGACAACCGTCCCGGCAAAGCTTCCGGTCCTGGGACCGACGAGTCGTACTCACTCCCCTGCAGCGACAATTTGTAGAAGCTGCGCTGGGGGTGAAACTAACTAGTGGGACAGAACCAGAGTCTAGTCTGAAGGGAAGGCATTTGCCCTGCGGCGGGAATTCCACCAATAATAGGACTTCAGAGGTCCGATTTCCCCTCCGCACGGCTCCTTTTGCGACTGTCTTTCTCACAATACCCTGAGCTGGATTGAAGATGAAATATTTGATTTTGCAATTAAGGAGTATTGAGTATCTTTCAGAATTACTCCTGAAAAGGAAGTTAAGGAGAGCATAGGAAAAAGCTTCACCTACAGTTCAACACTATTACTTTTGAAAACTACTTTTCAAAATTATTTTTCTCTTGTTGCCTAGCACAGAACAGTTTCTTAACAGCTGCTCATTGCCTGAAACGATCATCAGTGTTTACTTCTGGCTAAACTCAGTAAGGGTAAGGCTGAGAAGCACAGAGCCCCTGCGGGATTGGAATGGGAAGCTGAATACCCCTTGCCTAAGGATTCCAGGGCGAAGCCAAAGGAGGTTGTCAGGAGCACACTCGCTGGCTCTCAAGGGATCTAATCTTATGCAACAGACTAAGATGCACATAGAAATGTTTTGTGAACAGGCATCATCTGCCAACGAGAAGCCATTAGAGTAGAAAAACTAAGTGACTGGCCCTGACTGGTTTGGCTAAGGGGACAGAGTGTTCGCCTTGCTTAATAGCATATCCTCAGTAGAGGGTGTGCAGGAGGCAGCTGATGGATGTTTCTAACTCTCTCTCTCCTTTCCTCTCTGTAAAAAAAATAAAAAAAATATATATATATATGTATTTTAAAAACTGTGTGACTGGCTAGTCCACCCTTACAGCTCAGCCAGGATCATTTCTCCATCCGTAATGTCAGGTTGATGAGCTGAATACTGCCAACTCGAGGTGTCAGCAAGCTCTTTGGCAATCATCACCCATAGGTGTTTCACAGGACTTCCACTGTGAGTCCAGCTCCATCTTCCAGTTTGGAGCTGCCTGGCATAGATGCCAGGGCTGCACCTAGTCTCTGGTCTTGAATATCGCCAAAACTTAGGCTTATTTTACTTATTCAAAAGGTACAGTTCCTTTATACAACTCCCCCTCCCCCATGCGTACTCCTCAGCCATCCACCTCATCATTTTCTTATCCACCCACTTTAAGGCCACCTTATCCTGTGTACTGAGGGCTCCAACCTCAGCCTTGGATCCTTTTACCTCTTTAAGATGCCCAGCATCCACTCCCCACATGCATCTTCCTTTGTAAGTGACCCTTATTTCATAAAACTTCAGTGTAAGCAGTGGTGCCAAAGGAGGAGATTAAGACCCAAGAGACAGTGTATTTGTAAAAGTCTGGCTTCACAAAAGATCAAATTTCTCAACATAAATGAGACTAAGTTTACCACCAGATTCATTCAACACCAGTTATTTTATTTCAAAATATAAATATTTTACATTTACAAAGAACTTACATCAGTAGGTTGTCAAAGTAAGTTAAAGCTAAGAAATACCATTTGTGAGAGAACAGAGGTGTACTGTATTAGAATATTCTTTTTTTTTACTTTCCCACCATCTCATCTCTACTTTGTCTGAGAATGCAGAGATGGTACATTTTCCAAAATTACATAAGCAATCACAATTATATATCCAATTTTGGTTTCAAAGTCAAATGGTGCCTGTTACACACTCCAGTCACCTAAACAAATTGGCAGTACAAGGGAGAAAAGGAGGGTTTTCTTTGGGATAGCTGTAATAGCAGTTAAATTTTGAGTCACTGCAATAAAGAAGAAACAGTGTTTGATAATGAGCCAAAATGATGTTACTTTTAAGAATTGCTTTCACACCTTTCATTGTAAAATATAAAGCTGGAAGAACAATAAGAAACCAGGTGCGAATACTGGACTTGGAGTCAGAAATTCTGAAACTGAATTCTGGCTCCATTACTTTGTGTTACAAACTTCAGGGGGGAGAAAAAAAAAAATCACAAAAACCTTTCTGAGCCTCCAGTGCCTCATCTGATAATACTTAACACCTGCCTACCTCACAGGGTTGTTATGAAAGCAGTCTGAAAACTATAAAGTGCCATACAAAAGCATTATTACAATGTAATATCAATATATCACCACTGTATTTGCACATTAATTGATCCTTGAAAAACTTGCAAAACTAAACACAAATACTGATTTTATGCACCACAGGTGGTAAGACTTTCTATACATATAGTTCCAAAGGGCAAATATGTTTTCTTTCTAGTATTCTTGGTAAACTTTGAGATTTGTTACAATTACAGGGTAACATGGTAACATATTTACCTTTCAGAAATTCCACTAAGGTTGTCTTCCACAAAAGCTGTAAACTCACTGCAGAGCTATGTTTCCCAAAAGGTAGTACTTTTGAGATACTCCGAGAAAAGGAAGCATGGGGCCGCAGTTCAAGGTCAAGTAAGTCTAAGTAAAGCCAGTCTTTGCCCCCTCATCAATTCACAATATATACTAGCAAGTCAAAAACTCTGAGAAGTCCTACAGAAAGAAAACCAACCCAGCATGTCTCAGTTTTAAATGACCTTGGCGTCCCCTCCCCCATGCACACTGTATTCTCTGACACCATCTAATAACATCCATTTGAACAACTGCTACAAGAAAGACGTTTTTCCAAGAGCTATTTGGCTAGGAGGAAAAGCGAAAAGGAAGTAGGACTGGGAGAAAAAGAGAACTGTGCTCTACTCTGAATTCTGTTACTCACTGTGTTAGAAAAGCCGCCTGGACCTTGGGATTTGTTCCCTTCTCTAGGAAATAACAGAGCCACCTCATTATAAATATAAGGCCCATTCCAGCACAGAATGGTCAGTGATGCCAATAGACAGTTTAAAAATAAAAGAACTGTCAATCAAGTCTATCAAAAGATACCTGCTCAGTGTTTCAGAGTGTATGCACATTTTTTGCAGGTCCTCAGTAAATTAGTAAAATGGATATAGTTTGATTGCAAACTATATAAAGGCAACAAGTTAATAAAAACAAAAGTACTTATTTTTAGCTGGAACTAGTATTTGGAAGTTTACCGTCAGAAGCTATTTCCACTGTGAAGTGCCTACTGTAAAACTCTTGTCAGGGTCTTGGGAGACCCTCCGGTCTGGGAAGTTCCGAAGGGGTTTTTTCCTATAAACCTGGGATGGAAAGCTCTAGATAGCTCATCTAAAAATTACTTTGCCCTAATCTAACTCTCATGGCCTGAATTTCTGAGTATTTCTTGCCCAGCAGGGACACTTCCTGAAATGCTAAATACAATGAAAGTGAGAACCAGTGGTACTAGGAAGTCCCAAAGGGTCACTGAAGGGTTCCTGCTAAGACCAAGGTCAGCCAGAGGATTTTATCTGTAAGCCCTGGAGCAGCCCTTTTTAACTGGAATAAACAGCTGCCGTTTCCAAGAGCTACAGAGTTTGTTTAAATATAGCATCTCCATAACAATTCTCGGGTATCCTCCCATGCCCAGGGTCGCTCTACACCAGCCTCAGAGGTCAAGGGAGCCCTCTGCCAGCTCACCCCCTCTAATGGAAGGGGGTGTTAGGATTCCTTGCAAATGGAAAAGAAATAAATAAGACTGGAATCTAAAGCAGTCTGTCAGAGATCACTTCCAGGAACAGAGAGTATGGTAAGAATTTTGGAACTGAAGGAAGACTTATATATGGAGTTTATGCTGAATTCCACATGCCTGTTCTCCAAGAAAAAGAGGAGCAGGGTTGTGTAGAGAGTTTTTATCTCCTCCCTTTAGTTTATAACTGAATAATGAATGCGAACTTAACACTAATCTTTAATTGAGCTGTAAAATGCAAGACATTGTGATGGGATTTCTGAACTCAGTTTTTACTGAAGCTACTTCTACCTCATCGATGCATTTTCTCCCTCTTTCTGGGTCAGATCTCAACTGAGAACCTGAGGGCTGAAAATCTTTAAAACTTGAGCTGGCGACTCCTACCTTTTCATACCACTTGATCTCTCTGCTCTGTGAAGGTTCTGCACAACCTCACTACTCCTGAGGGGCATGTTTGTGAGGGTTCCAGGAAGACCTCTCCTAGCCAGCCTGCCTCCCCGTCCTTACGCAGCTGCTGGAGTGCTGGGGCCACTTCAATTCCTGCCGAGGTCTGGGTAGCACTAGGGCACCTCTGTTTCTGCTATTCCGGGGTGATATTGCATCACTGCTCATTTTGGCAGCTCTAACCTAGTCTCTTAGAGCTCAGAGGTCCCCCCCACCCCAACAACCTGGTACTCCTAAGAATAATTATGACCAGCAATAGCCACACATTAGCTCAAGTTTAGTTTTTTTGCAATATCACTTTGTACCACTAAAAGCACTTGGAAAAAGCATAATCTGTACAGGCACCCAACTCATTGTGTACAACATTACCTCTTGTGAATGCGTGCAAATTACAGTTATAAACTTACCAGTACACAATTAACAGATACAAGCCCTATTTATTTTTTAACCCCTTTAATGCAAATGTTTTATTTTGGCAATACACATGATCTAGCTAAGATTTACGAAAGAGAAGGCCTGCTTAGGAGTTATCCCCTACAGCACCCTGTCAGTGCCTGGCTTGGGCCTAGAGTTTGGCAAACAAGTAGCAAATGTTTTACTGAATAAATGACTAAACAACAAACTAAGGAAAATAATTAATTAGTGGCCAAACGTACCATTGGTGTTATATCAAATTGTAATTGTTAAAGGGTTCCTAGGAAAAATTAGAGATGTGTACATAGTCTACTATATAAAACAAAGACTTCATGGTAGCTTCTCTTCTAAATGGAGTTTTTCTTAATATCAGAATAAATTTAACTAGTTATACTAACTGTGCTTTTTAGTGAACAAGTGTTTGAGATAAAATAATTTATACTTTTAAGTGTTTTCCAAACCGGTGATCTCTGATTCTTAAGAAACCTTTCTCTCCCACATTCCCCTGGGGGCAGAGAGAGAGAGCCTGAGGACTGTCTTATATGATGGCAAGGGCACAGAGCCAAGAGCTGGGTTCTACTCCCAGCCCTCAGTAACAGGAGGACAAATCCAAGGACAACTATTCTACTAGCATCTCACAACACGGAAAACTGGAAGGAAGTACAAGCAACACTACCGCATACGCAGAGTTTGCAGACTTACGGAGTCAGAAGGTAGGAGGTCAAATCTTACTGAACTTTATGACTTTCAGTTTGTCAGTTTTCTGAACCCTAGCTTCATCATCTGCGTGAAACCGTTATAAAACAACATAATGCTGTATGAAAAGTTATGTGAAATTGTGAAATAATTACAGGCAAAGAGACTTTGTAAAATGTAAAAGCACTATCCTGGTTATTGTGATATCTGATAAATTCAAGAAGTTACAATGTTTTTCCAACAGGCATTTATCTAGTCTCATGTGCAAGGCACTGTGCTAAGTGATGGGAAAATACTGCATAAATATAAACTTCTGGTCTGTAAGTAACCAAGTGGCAGAATTCCAAATGGAGAAACAGGGATACATTTAACAAATCAGAGTACTGATGCACCTGAGATCTTTTCACTTGAAACATTTGGAAAGAAAAAAGAAAAATCACACACGAATTCTATCACCTTGTTACCATTAATAGCAGCGGACATTTCAGTGCCATTGGTCTGCCAAGTTTTAGAAATTTGGCAACAGTGCAATGTGGGGATGGAGGCAGAAGAAAGGGGAGAGAGAGCTTCAATCAGTCTGTCTCTCCTTGGGTTGCAACACACAACTAACTGAACTTGAAGTGAGCCACCTGCTCTTCCACGGGAGGCTGGTTCTTCCTTAGAGAGGACCATACCTTGTGGGAAAAGGGTAGCAGACACATTTTTCCTGCTCAAGCAACTACGTACTCAAAAGTAAAAGCCCTTTTCACTGAAAAGTGACCGTCGTAGAAAAGTTTATAAACAGATTTCTTAAAACAGGAGAAAAATTACATGTATGTCCTTTTTAAGAGTAGGCAGTTTAGGGCTCTTAGAAAATAACTTTATAAATACATATTATAATATTACAGATAAGCAAAGGGGGTAAATTTCAAGCCATAGTGCCAGTGTATACACTGAAACTCTTAAATAAGCAACAGTTAGGTGAGCAAACCACATCTGGGAGCTCTAAAGCTGTGCTTTAAAATGCAAAGCAGCTCACAGCAAGTTCGCTCTTGCCCACGCGTTCTGCAGGAAGGCCAGGGACTCCGCTTCTTTCCCTGGCTCTGGGTGCCAGGCATAGCCGAAAGGACAGGAGACACAGCTGAACTGAACTCACAGTCAAGGTGGAACTTCCTAGAGAAATCTCTGAAGTGGAAGCTGTGTCAGTCCACTGAAGATTTCAGATCTTCAGAAATGTCACGGAAAGTCCTATAAGAAAAAATAAAATTCGATTTGCTTTTGAAAATGAGGTGGTAGGAGGAATGAGATACTAATAAAAGAAAGGAAAACAGCACCTAACCAGTAAATAAATGCCATGGAATAATAACTTATTTTTATAATCTGAGAGCCTTGATGAGGTTATAGAGTCATTTTTCTTTAATATTATCACGAGTTGATATTTTGAGTATTATTTCAAAGTATGCTAATAACAAGAACTCCAGAGTTTCGTTTTGTTTGTTTTTTTGCTGAGTCCATTATCTTCCATCCAAAAAAGTATTTCTCTTGAAATTAACAACCATGTGACTATGTTCTAGCCAATAGGATGTAAGTGGAAGAGCAGTGTGACTTCTCAGCAGTGTCCTTAAAAGAGAAGGGTGATCTTCCCTCCCACCCTCTAGCCAGCTGAGAAGTGTACACAAGGATATTAGAGAAAAACACTGGAATATCAAAGATCAAAAGCCAAGTGAGTAAGTTGTATTACAAAACAGGAAACCGGACCGAGCAGAGTCCAAGCTCTGAGGGATGTGGTTCAGGGCAGGAGAAATGAGGTGAGGTCTTTTCACCAAATTGCCTGGTACTGAACTGTCTGACCCACGTAGACAAGCTAAGTGCGTATCACCAACTGGCAGGCAGCATCCAGGCTGTATAGCGGTGGTGTGGTGCACCTATGAGGCTTTATTTGATAAATAATGTAAGAAGGAACAATGTGATGTAGTGATGTGACTACAAATTAATACAGTATAACTTGAAGACTTAGTAGCTCATCAGGACTGTAGTAGCTCATTTGCCTTTACTACATAATTTATATGGCCAAGCTAGGATTACGTCACCCAGTCAGGCCTGCATCTGTGCTGGCAGCCAACTGGCCAGGTCAGAGTTTATCAATGAACATGAGCCCAAGCACCCGCCTTAGAGGAAAAAAACTCACACCAAGGCTGGCAGAACAGCAAGGAGGGAGGCTCGGCGGGATGATGTGGAAGAGTTATACAGCCCTGGACTGCCTGCCTCTGGACTGTTTTCAACCTCTAGCTCTTTTAAGTCATCTGAGTTCTACTGACAGTGGTTTTTTTGAGTTTCTTTGTTTTGGGCTATATGAAGCTAAATCTATCTTAAAGGGCACAAGTGTGAAGCAGAAGTTCATTGCCATCCTTTTAGCTAGAAGTTACCTTGCTCCTTTACAGCAGTATCACCAATCAGGACCCCAGAAAAACATCTGAGCTCAACAAGCTAGTTTTCAAAAACAATTTTAAAGTCTTCAAGTTATACTGTATTAATTTGTAGTCACATCACTACATCACATTGTTCCTTCTTACATTATTTATCAAATAAAGCCCACTTTATTTTCATACCTTATAATCAAAAAGATTAACTTTTTCATTAGAAATAGACCTAAAATAGAATATAAGAAAAGTGTTACAAAGCTTCAGTTAATCACTCAGAGTTATGGATACAAAAGATGACAAAAAGTTGTGGTTAGATACAAATTACTTAAAAATTTGCAAAGCAGCCGAGACCGGTTTGGCTCAATGGATAGAGCGTCGGCTTGGGGACTGAGGGACCCGGGTTCGATTCCGGTCAAGGGCATGTACCTTGGCTGCGGGCATATCCCCAGTAGGGGGTGTGCAAGAGGCAGCTGATCGATGATTCTCTCTCATCGATGTTTCTAGCTCTCTATCTCTCTCCCTTCCTCTCTGTACAAAATCAATAAAATATATTTTAAAAAAAAATTTGCAAAGCAAATAATTTCGAACTTCAGGTGCAATTCACTTCCATGCCACCGCTTACCGGTACATTTTTGTCTTCCCAATTTTCAGTTCATATGCATATTTAGGAGGGTGAGCTAGAGAGGGCAGAGGTAAATTAAAGATTGACCCTTTTATGCCGGGAATACTTAAAAATCAAGAGGGGCGCAGGTAAAATGGTACAGGAAAGAGATTACATCAAGGATGCTCAATTGTCTCAAGGTTTTTTCAATGGGTGGTGCCTTAAGCCTCTGAAGCGTGCCACTAACTAGCACAGTTCTGCTTCCAAAGGAACAGTTTTGAGTAATGGGTGAGCTTCCTGGCCCTGGCTCTGGCACTTCAAAAGGGTTTGTGTGTGATGTGGCCAAAGCCACCATATTGAATATATATGCTGATGGGCCTAGGAATCAAAATGAATTGTTTCCTTAAATAACTTTAAACTCTGAGAAAAATTCCCCCAAACTACGACTTATATATACACACACTAGAGGCCCAATGCACAAAATTCGTGCAAGAGTAGGCCTCCCTTCCCCCAGCTGCCGGCACCAGCTTCCCTCTGGCACACGAGACCGGGGCTTCCCTCACATATTACGCTTTTATTATTATAGATGCTTTATACATATTACTACCTATCAATATGTCTATTAATCAAATCAGGGCTTCTCAATGGCATCACTATTGACATTGTTGGCATTATAAGATATTTAGCAGAATTCCTGTCTTTACCTACTACAGTTGTGACAATCAAAATGTCTCTAGACATTGCCAAATATCCCTTAAGGGGAGCAAAATTACCCTCTCCACAACCATTGCTCTACCTACCTATTTATTTATTTTTCACAGCGCCCCCCAAATTTGTGTTTTAACACCTGTATAGAGGCTAAGATGACTACTAAATGTCTGATGACCATCTCAGGCAGTACTCAAGTCTGGGAAACCCTGGAAAGGCTTCACAACCAATAACCAAAAACTGGCCAATACCAGACAGCATTTCCAACACCCAACCAGCTTCTAAATTCATCTCTGACATCTTTTCAAATTTCTAAGTTACCTGCAAGTCTGGATCTCTAATGAGACAATTCCTCAGACGATGAATGAAAAATCCTGCCTCAGGCAAAGAGGCATGATATAAGATTAAGACTGTGGTTGGCCTGGCGACTGCCTTCTGTTGACAAGTAAGCTTAGCCTTAATGTTGAAATTCATACCTTCTGTTCAATGCTCCCTCCAGGCCAAGAAAACCTCCAAATGCACTCAGGAGAAAGGAAATTAAATTAAGCAAGCTGAGAAAACTCAGTTACTGAGTTTTTTAAGTTACTGAGAGTTTTCCATCTCAATATTATCTCTTCTTTAGATGTTTAGGTTGGTGAAGGTGGTGTGTGTGTAAAACCTTATAGGCATAACATTGATATTAAACCACCTTCCAATTTTCTCCTGGAAAACAAACTCCATAATCTAGAGATGCAGAAATAATTTATTTAAAAAACATTTTAATTGAATTTATTTAAACTAAAATTACAAAACAAAATCAGGTCACTTGCCCTGCATCTGTCCTACCCCCTGCAACTACCAATCTGTTCTCTGTATCTATAAGTTTGGTTTTATTTTTTAAAAGGACTTATTTTTTTAATCCTCGCCTTAGGACATGCTTAGTAGAGAGAGGAAGGGGAAGAGGGAGAAAAAGAGAGAGAAAAGGAAAGAGAGGAAGAGAAAAAGAAAAGGAGAGAGAAACTGGTATCCATCCTCTGCATTCCATATGTGCCCCAACTGGTGATCAAACCCACAACCCAGGTATGTGCCCTGATAAGGAATCAAATTGGCAACCCTTCAGTGCACAGGACGACGCTCAATCAACTGAGCTACTCCAGGCGGGCGGTTCTTTTTTTAGATTCTGCATGTAAATGAAATCATAAGGGATTTGTCTTTCTCCGATTTCTTTCTGGCCTCATCAAGAGGCACGGAGCTAACTAATTTCGAGGGCTCATAAAATTGCAGCTCTCTAGATCAGGGGGGGGAAAAGAAATAAAGACTACATTGACATTATTTCTAAAAATGGTGAATGTTTTATCTAAACTACCAAATTACAGTCTTCTTTCCCAAACCATAGGATTATTATGCTCCTCAGAACCAGGGTGGTGGAACCAGCCTTGCAGGATGAGCAGGGCCAGAGGACAGCTGTGAGCATTTAGAGCTCCTTTAAGGGCAACAGACAATGTGCAGTGTGGTTTCCCATTCACAAGCCTTTGCTCATTGAAAAATGTTTGGGGAACTGCTTCCCCTAAAATTTCAATGTGATTTTTAGGAAGATTCAGTTTTATGTAAATCTTTAAATCTTTTCTGATTTAATAACTCAAGAGCTGTTGACTTTTGGCCTCCCAGAGAAACAGATAAACTTTGAACATTTGAAAATAAAAAACTAATGAAGAGCATTAAGTGACAAATTTAACTTCCATTGGCTGGACATAGCTGAGTGTGTATTTCCTAAACCCTCCCCAGCAGACAAGTACAAAACCCGTGATCACTTTTATATCACATCATCACTATTACACATACCTTCTCTTCTAACAGATATGGAATAAACTTCTAAGGCTGAGATTTACTATGTACCGTCTGTCTTTTTCAACCTCAAGGTTACATTGCAATATTCTTTTTTTTTTATCAAATCTTCTCTTGGTTTCACTAACTTATTAACTCATCACATTTTCACTAAGCACTTTCTATGTGCCAAACACCATGCCAGGAATGGTAAGAGTGGTAAAGGAGTTAGACACAGCTTCGACTTTCAGAAAGCTTTCCAACAGGTGAGAGAGACAATTAACGAAGCGCACATGTATACACTGTGTATTAAGTCCCAATAGAAGGAGTACAACATGCTATTGGGACACACAGCAGTGACATCTTACCTAGTCTAATGAGTCCCAGCAATGCTTTTCATTAAAAAGGCAGTTTAAGTATAGACCATGATACTGGATTTGGCTAGAAAGGGGTAGCATTCTATACAGAGGGGAAAACAAGTGTAAAGATGACACTGACCTCAGGGAACTAAAACAAGTTCAAGATGGCTAGAAAATAAAACGTAAGGCGGGCAGCAGAGAAAGGAGTCTGCAGAGACAGACAGAAAGAAGCCATGAAAAGTTTCCATTTTATCTTGAAGGCCATATAAAGCCACGGTGGGAATTTTAAGTACAGAGGAGCATAGCATTTACGCTTCAGAAAAACCAGAGAGGCTTTGTGGGGGTGCAAAAATAACTTTCCTCGTGTTAGCTGATATTAACGGGAGCAGAGGGAAGCCAACATTGTTGAGAACATCAGCTGAGGAGCTGAATGAGATAATAAGCCTGCTTCACTAGGAAATTGCAGCATTCATAGGCTCCCCAGGGAACCTCTGCATCCTACACCCTGGGACCTAATCCCTAGTTTCCAGGGAAGGGGGAAGAATAAGAAGAGCAGGAGACATTCCTCTGCTGGGGACAGGCACAGAAGCCAGGTGGCACGGCGGAGGTGCTCCTACTTTGAGGCATGCTCAGTAGGAACTAAGATGGTGATCACAAGGCAGCAGAGCCCAGCCTGGGAAAAGGACTGGACTGGATAAGGGACACAGCACCCCAGAAGATCTAGAAAATGGATAGGGTAGGGGGAGGGCCCAGTGCCAACCCAAGAAAGACTGGGAAGTGGATTGGTTATTCTAAAAGGGTGCCTGGTCCTTCCCACGCCCGAAATAATATAATCAACCTAACAAGGGCATGTGGGATCTCTCTCTCTCTCCTTCCTTCTCTCTTCCCCCCTACCCTCCCCAACATACACTCGCCCTATTTACACGTTCTCTCTTCATAACAGCCATGAAGCCCTATCAGCCACCTGTGGCCCCACAGCCACGGACTCCAAGCACCAGCCAGGGCACAGCTGGGAACAGAAGCTAACCCAGGAGGATGAGGACGGCACGGAACCAACAGCACAGAGGAAGCACCTCCCCCTGGAGGCTGGCTTTTGCTCTGAGCCCGATGAAGACAAGGCTGGACTTGTTTCACAAGGTTTTTGCTTCTACAATAAATCCTACCACTACCCCTGACCCTCCCATATGTGGGCACCCAGAAAGCTTTCCTTTCTGAGTCCATGAGAGGACCCCATTTCCACTGGCAACACTCCCTCCTCTAAATTCTTCTAACTGCACTAACAATCAAATTAATATAAGAAAGAGCAACAGGAACCATGTCTACAATTTATTACAGGTGTACGCTTGGAGTGTCATAAGATATATGAGATCCAAAGATACACAGGACACCTGAGGATTACATGCCACTCTGGACAAAGGAGGGGAGGCAGGGGTTTGGGATTTCAAAGGAAACGCAGGCAATTCATAGGGAGCTGAGAGGGGGCAAACCCCTGGTAACCAATTCCTGCTGGGCCACCCGGAGACAGTGTGGCTCAGAAGGAGACTCAACACACAGGCTTTGCTAACTGTCTGCCTGTCTGCCACATTTAGTGTGTAATAAGATGCTAAGGTGATGTTCCTTTCCTTCAAGCAGGTTTTTCTATCAGAATTCCTTTAGATTGGTAAGGAGGGAAAAGTCAAAGGTTCTTTCTGAGTCTTCTGTTTCTTAACAACTAGCTTAAAATCATATCCCAAAAGGTCTATTTTGGGTGGTAAACTTTAGTCTCCCTTAGCCACACTATGGAAAGTAGACCATATGGGGAGCCAGACTAGAGAGGCCGGGGCTGGAGAAAAGGCCCCTGAGGGTAACCCCAGCGCTGGATCACCCCACAGGGAACACAGAGGGCTGCACAGATTCAAGAAATGTGCCAGCAACAGAGTCAAAGGAGAGGCAACAGTCAGCAGAGGTTGAGTCCAGTAGCTCCCTAGTAACCAGATTTCTCTCTTCCCCCCTCATTATACCAAACTAAGATGATGGAAAGTACATACCAACTGAAATTCTGAGGTTTAATGTAAAGGTCTGCAGGAGCTGTAATGTTGTGTGTTTTTTTAAATATATTTTTATCAATTTCAGAGAGGAAGGGAGAGGGAGATAGAAATGGAAATATTAATGATGAGAGAGAATCATCGGTAGGCTGCCTCCTGCACACCCCCCAGTGGGGATAGAGCCCACAACTGGAGCATGAGCCCTTGACTGGAATCAAACCCGGGACCCTCTAGTCCGCAGGCCAACGCCCTATCCACTGAGCCAAACTAGTTAGGGCAGGCGCTGTAAAGTTTTTGAAGAACATCTTTATATCTCATTTTTCACAAACATGAAAAACAGAAACAAAACAACTCTTCAAAACAGCAATGAGTCAGTAATCATTCTTCCCTAGAGAAAGACAAAGCTGAGCTCCTAAAGGACCACATTCGATCGTCACCTCTGGGAGGGTCAGGTGTGACAGAAGGCAATGGAAAACGATGCCGAGAACAGCATTCCTGGAAGTGTCTGGGGTAGTCTCCTGCTTCCTCCTTACAGGGTTTTCTGAGCTTGGATACTCAGGGATTGCTGCTCAGCCTTTGGTAGGAGTGAAATACGTACATCAAATCAAGTCTGATTGTCCTGTCCAAGTATCAAGAAAGCACTCCAAGCCATATGATTGCAGGAGTGTTTTTATCCTTTCAAACAGCCCCACTGTTACAGAGAAGAGAAAGGGATAGGTTCTGATTATGACTTAATCAGCCCATTGGTCGGAAGCCCAATGCTGCGCGACATAAACCACAGCACATGCTGCTGCATTCACACTAAAGGGAGGGAAGTATATACGACTTCTTAGTTTATACTCATTAAAAAAACCACTTTCCTACATCTCTCCTTAGCTGGACAGTTGGTCATCCGTCTGCAGACAGATGGCAGTACATAGAAAGTCTTCAAATGGGTCTTTTCAGTCCCCGGTGCCTGCATCTGCAGCTAGAAGGTAAGTCTGCCTAATGAAATGCAACCACCCACCTGCTGTTATCACACAGTAACATCAATTCCCAGGAGAAGCCAAATGTTCCATAGCTCATGCCTCAGTAGAGACTATTCCTTCACAGCCCATTCGTTCCTTCCACTAGGAAGTGAACACATTCCAAGTACAAAACACTGTGAACAGGTGCTGTGGATACATCAGTTACTAAAACTGACATGGCCCCTGCAATGGCAGCAACCACAGTCCAGTGGGAAAAGAAAAGTAATTGAGTGAATGCTTATATCTTGAACATGCCATCAACCTAGGTAAAAGATTAGAAGACCTTTCTCTGAGGAATTTACTGGCCCAAAAAGGGAACCGCAAAGCACTGTCACCAAAGGCTGCACAAGGCAATGGCCCTACCAGATTTATTATGGTAACATACTTAACCCCCTCACAGCTCTTGAGTGAGTGTCACACTCTTAATATGAGCCAAGAGCCCAAAATATCTGGTCTTTGATATCATGTTTGTGTTAATACTATAAAAATGAAGAGCTTTTATAGATATAACTAAGGTCTCTAATCAGTTGGCTTTAATCAGAAGTATGACGGGTGGGGCAGGCTTAATAAGGTGAGCTCTTTAAAAGGTTTTTAGCAGAGACAGAAGTCAGAAAAACACTCTCCAGCTGGCTTTGAGGAAGCAAACATCCCTGTATGAATGGCTGGAGAAATAGCCTACAGGAGCTGCACGCCTCAGTTCCACAAGTGCAAGGAAATAATTCTGCCAATAATAAACGAGCTTGGTAGAAGACCCCAATCCACCCATAAAAACCCCAGCTGCAGCTGGCCCCTTGACTGTGGCCTTGTCAGACTCCAGGCAGAAGACCAGCTGAATTGTGCCTCGACTCCTGACCCGTGGGGACGACTATAATAAACGTATGCTGCTTAAAATCACTAAATTAGTGGTAATTTGTTATGGATTATAGAAAATTTTATTTACATAAATAATACCTCAATAAACCAGACTGAAAAAAAATAAATAAAACAGCAGACATGGAAATCTCTATGGCAGTTTTAGAAGATAAATCACCAGAGTGCAGGTGCTGAAACACCTCTATCCTGCCAGGCCACTCGGGTCAAGAAGGCAGAGATGATCCCGCTTGAACTCACCGCTGACTCTGAGCAGGCCACGGAGTCTGGTTTGCCATGGGCACGGAGTTTGTGGGACTCACTAGCATGGCACTGTAGATGTTGGAAGCGACCACAAGGATGCAGAGAAGTATGGGCCCGATGATTGCTCCTTCCAGGCCCAGGTAGTATGCTCCGCCAGCCACGGCCAGGCCTGTCAGGTAAGGATGGCCGCCTCTGGAGAGAAGAGCACACAGACTGGCTCATGGCTTCTGACAAACACAAACCCTGGAGTAAATCTGTATCACATTCTCTAACACAACAGTCATTCTCCAATACGCCAGGCCTTTGACTACTAGTATATTACCGCTCTCTTCAGATCGTCTCAATGTGGATAACTGAACACTGTAATAGCATTGAGACGAAAGAATTTTCTTGTCTACATAACATGTCTGACCTCTGCCTTTCATATAGGTCCAGCAACTGGAGGAGTGAAGTCAGTAATGTTAACAGGTAGGAACCTTGCACGCATTACGTGGCTGCCTGAAGTGGGTTAATGCCTGCTTGCGATTGGTTATATCAGTCACCTGCTAAGTTTACCTCCATGAAGAACAATTAAGCGAGCCCAATTTAGTAATTAATTAATCGTGTTTTTTAAAAGATGATGACAATATAAGAGCCTCCCTGTTATCATAGGTTAGACTTCTGGCAACTCCCAAAAGTATAGTTTTTAGTGTAGGTACTACTAAAAAACCTCATGAGGAAAAGATCTGTTGGAAAACCCAAGATTTTTATTTCACAAGAGAGTCATAATTGACCTCCAGCATATCACAATATCTCTGACATAAATGGAACAAAATGACAGATTCTAGCAGCACAGCACAATGATAAGGATAACAAGGGCCGCTGCCATGAGGGGAACTGGAAAAAGGTATGTTGTTTCTAGTTTTTAAACACACATAACTGTAACAATTTAGTGAGGGGCAAATAGCTATATACCCTAGAACAGTGGTTCTCAACCTTTCTAATGCCGTGATCCTTTAATACAGTTCCTCATGTTGTGGTGACCCCCAACCATAAAATTATTTTTGTTGCTACACCATAACTGTAATTTTGCTACTGTTAATGAATCGTAACATAAATATTTTTGTAAATAACTTGTCCTTATATAATTTCAAATTAGCTGAAGGGTGTACTCTTCAGACCACATCTATCCTTATTGTGATGATGAGTTTTACTGAAAGAAAACTTACTATTAGTACGATAGTCTCAGTAGGCTGTATCCTGAATTTAAGAAGCTGATTAAAATTCAACATCTGGTGGCATCCCAGATTCTAATAAACAATGTGAATCTGAATATATAACTAAATGAACATCATCAGCAAAAGAGCAACACAGCAGAACCTAAAATATCAAAATCTATTACACACACACACACACATACACACACACTTACTTTGATATTATGTGGCTCAAGTTTTAAATTTAACCTGTCCCCATCAAACAACCATACTATCTAACATCTTAAATAAGAGAGCTGTTTGTCAAATATTTAGCTTGAGATTTGGTTTTACGTGGAAATCACCATACAACTTAATAATGTCTTTTCTCCAAAAGCAAAGACTTTCTGAAAATAATCACAAACTTGTTACTTTGAATATTTAATGTACATTTAGTAATATGTTTCTTAGGTTAAATTGTTCACATTTTTGTTTTAACTCGGGGTGTTTTTTATTATAAATTATACTTACAAAATACCAAAATACCTTGCAAACAATATTAATTATATTAAATTAAATTCTGATTACATAGTGGAGAACACAGACGGTCACTTCATTAAAAACTCCCACCCCCTGCCCTTTCTCCCATCTCCAAAAGAAATATAAAAACTCTCCTTTAAAAATGCCACAGAAATCCCTGGTCATGATACCTGGAAGTGCTATAGGATACTTACCCCGAAATATCAGAATAGATGGCAGTATCTACAAAGTATGTTGGCAAGAGATGAAAAACCAGCAGTAAGACGGCTTTGCATCCTAGGCCTTGTGTAAGCCACAGGTCTAGAACTGCAGGGATTGCTGCCCAGTATGTCCCCAGAAATGGTACTGCTCCAAGGATGGCTGCTAAAGCTGGTAAGAGATTAATTAAGAAATGCAACTGAACATCATCAGCAAAACAGCAACACAGCAGAACCTGAACACTAACTCCTCCCATTTGAAAATTTCCACCAAAACAAGTTAAACAGCAACTCAAAATTTCAGGGAAAGCTATGTCCTTGTTTAACTAAGTTTGCTAGTTAAATGGTCTGAAATCTTAAAACTTGATATTGAAAATCTTTCTAAAATGTGTGTCTACTTCATAAATCTATTTTTTAGCTACTAAATTTCTGTATCTTGTGGTTATTTTGAACCAATGGCTAGTTAATATACACTCCTATAACATCACTATAGAACATTGGTCAAAATTGGTACTGAGTCCAAAGCCAAATCAGTTTCTATAGCTCAGATATGAGTATTAGTCTTTACCTTGATTCTAATAAAAAAGAAAAAAAGAAATGTAATTTAAAAATAACACCCAGCTTGTTGAGGATCTTACTGAAGCTTGTCTCCTTCCAGAACATCACATTAAAGCACTCCACAGAGCCGAAACTGGTTTGGCTCAATGGATAGAACGTCGGCTTGGGGACTGAAGGGACCTAGGTTCGATTCCAGTCAAGGGCATATACCTTGGTTGTGGGCATATCCCCAGTAGGGGGTGTGCAAGAGGCAGCTGATCGATGACTCTCTCTCATTGATGTTTTTAACTCTCTATCTCTCTCCCTTCCTCTCTGTACAAAATCAATAAAATATATTTAAAAAAAAAAAAAAAGATTTATCAAGCACTCTACAGAGACATGGGTTCTCCAGATTAAAAGTCAAGAAGACGTGGATTCCAATTCTGGTCCTAACCATGAACCAGCCCTGTGACTTGGAAAACTTTGGTTTCCCATCTATATAGGGCTTCATGAACAACCTCCATGTGCTGTCAGAGGATGGCTATGTGAAAAACAAAGTAGGGAACAACCTGAATGAACTTGGGAATGTAAAGGAGGATGGGAGCACAGACCCAAGTAGAAAAAACTGATGGTAGAGGCAAATGTGGAGGGCAGATATATTTAGGAAGACAAGCAGCCACCAAAATAAAGGTAGAAAAAGTGGAAGGAGAGGAGCAGAGATAACATAGAAAAGTAAAAGATGGTCACTAAACCATCCTGGTGCGTATGGAATGTGGGTATTATCAGAACAGACCTCAAGAGGTGTGGGGACAGTTTGCGGGCCTTTAGAAGCATTCATCTTGCCCAAAGGACAATCTCCTTCATGGGGCAAAGCTTTTTGACCAACTCACTGCTTCCTGCCAATCAGTTCAGTTCAAACACTTATTGAGTGCCAATTATGGTTGGTGATAAGATATTCATTCATTCAACCAATAGTACACAGTGCTTCCTATGTGCTGGGTATTATTCTAGCTACTGGGGATACAGCAATAAATTAACATGACAAATTGTATTTCTGTTCCTAATTTGGACTAGATTCGATCTCAAAATTTTAGTATTTTCAATTTGGGGAATATGACACTTCCCAATGTATGCAAAATGGCTTAACTTTTCTTAAGTAGAGGGCAGTGAAAGTTATGACACAGTCGTTACCTGATGGTATGAAGACAATATTGATGCCAAATATAGTGTGAGTCAGCCAGGTATACAATCCATAGAAGCCAGCCATTTTGAGGGAAGCATCAAACACCCCTCTAGAAGGCCCAAAGATAAAAAAGGAAAGTAAATAAACATAGTATATTGTGATTCAGAAAAATCACTATTTCTAGGCTGCTAGGCTTCGGGTTACAAATCTGTTAACAGCTTCAATTTTTCCAATGCCTGAGAATGCTGTTTTCATTCTAACGAAGCATAAAGACTTCTTTTAAAACCCAGAAATGTTTTCTAAACTACTCTTTACATTTCTTTCTGATGAAAAGATAAGTGGACTAAAACACCTTTGAATACCCTAGACACTGAGATAATGAATCAACTTTTCACTTCTAAAGCAGACCTTTTACTGCCAAAACAGGTGAAAGAAAATTGAGTGTGAACATCTATTTCTGAGGATGCAGTTAAACTCTAAGAGCTCTAGGCCGTGAGCACTCTCCCCTTTGGGAAGAGCAAGGGAGGGATAACAGAACTTGTACTTAGCAGCCTTCCTTCTGTTAACAAAATTCCCCACATTTCTTCAACTATTCAACCAAGCCCACAAAGTAACTTCTGCAGATGCTAACTATCAAAGAATGCGTGTCATTGGGAGAGAACTTATGAAAGAAAGAAAAAAAAAAAAGAGTAAAAAGAAAACCAAACATATTAACTCCAAAGTAAAGTCAGAGACAAAAATACAAGAGATGGGGGGCAATGGGAGGTAAAGGACACATGTGTAATACCTTAGTCAATAGAGAAAAATAAAATAAATAAAACCTCCCAAAGACATATGCCCTAAAAAAATAAAATATCTATCTATCTATCTATCTATCTATCTATCTATCTATCTATCTATCAAAAACCCATGGTCCTAAAGCTATAAGGACCAAAGACTGGGGCTGGTGGGCAGGGCTGTGAGCATGGCAGGGCAGCGGGTGGGGCTGGGCGATTTTGTGCGCTGGGTTTCTAATACATATATATATGGGGTAAAAACAGATGCACATATTCGGTGATTAGTAGGAATGAAGTACAAAAAAAGGGCAGCCTCAGGCACTCCATTTGTGCTTTTCAAGTGGAAAATTATTAAGACAGTACTGTGTAAGGAGCAGCAAATTTTAAGTTATCGCAAGGCATCACAAAATTACAAAAACCAGGATTCTGGAGGGCATGGGAGAGGAACGCTCACATACTCATGAGAAGGAAAAGCTCTCTGCAATGGAAAAAGCAGAGGCTGGCGCAGCAAAGATGGCACTGAACCCATGAAAGGAAAGCTTTTCCAAAGTAGCCCAAGAGGTTTCCTGTCAGAGCAGTCAAGCTCTGGGACCTCCTGATTCAGTCACTTAATAGGGTTTGGAGACACGGATTTGACAGTGGCTCCCCAAATGTGAAACCTGACCAGCAGCTTTCACTCAAGAAGTTCTTAAAAGTGCCATGTGACCTCTGACAATAAGTTCACAGATTAAAGTGGTGTCAAAAAGACGAAAAGGAGTGGAGATGGCCCACAGGAAATATAAAAAATGTAAGTAGTAACTGAATAGAGGAGACAGAGGAAAAGGAAAATGGCAAAGGGAAAGAATTGGCAGTGTCTCAAAGACATGGAGAAGCCCAGCATGGAGGGGCCATGGAAGAAAAGGGAACACATTTAGTTTGGGCAATGGTAAGGAAAAAAAGGAAGATGAGGTAGCTGGAAATAAGAGACGAGGCCTAAGAGAGATACGCCAGAATGGGTTACTCACAGAAACCGATAAGCTATCCGGAGGGGAAAGCCTGGAGAAAATGGGGCAATGGGACCAGAGACAAATAAACTCCCGCCAGAGATAACGAAATCGTTTCTGGAGTAGGAAGAAAATCGCTGCAGTGTGATTTTTTTTCCCCAGAGACCAAGGGAAAAAGCAGCTTTTGAAAAGGAGGGGATAATAACAGACCAAATACCACAGAAAAATTAATGAGAATTAAGTCTAAGAAAAAAAGTACAGAATTTGACTAGAATGGGGGGGGGGGAGGAGTTGATGAGAAAAGATATAGATGTAGTACTTCCATCAACCTTACGTTATTTAAGAAATGTTAAGCCAAAAATAAGTTGACATCACAGGTACAGTAGAATATCACAACTGAATCATCTGTTAGGGTGGCAAAGAGGCAACACTCAATGCAAAAAGTACCGCTGGCAGGAAACAGCACGGTCCTCTTTTCTGTCTTTGAGGATATTGATCACGATTTTCTCACTAAGGCACTATTTAAGGAGTTTTGTGGACCCTAAATACATTAGATATTGTTTGCAGTTACTAAATATATTCATGCAACTCAATGAGGGAGGAAAAGACAACGTATTCCCCCCTATCGTATTACTTACGATCTGGTACACAAGCTTTATAAAACAGCAGAGGAAAATCCTCTAACCATTTACTAAGAACATTTTGACGCCCTCAAATTCCTAGCCGTTTTTCTTCTCTCTTTTTTCTGTCTCAACTTGATTGAACTATAATTTATAACAGTAAAACTCACCAATTCTAAGTACATAATTCAGTAAATTATGACAAATGTAAACAGTTTCATAACCACTGCTGCAGTCAAGATATAAAACATTTCTATCACCCCCAAAAGTTCCCTCACACCTTTTCATAGTCAATCCCTCCCTAAACCTGGATCTCTGAAAGCCACTGGATATGCTTTCTGTCACTACAGTTTTGCCTTCTCTACAGGAGAGTCAGGGAAGGAGACATGAGGACAGAAGTCGGAGAGAAAAAGAGATTGGAAGATGCTAAGAAAAAAATTAAAAAGGGATTGTTTCAATTATATAGGCAAATAGCAAACATTTGTATCTAAACACCAGTTCTATTATAAGCATATTAAAATAAATTTAGTAATTTTTAAAGCAACACAATGAAAAACTAAATATAAGACAAAGTTTTTTTAAGGTCATTTTCCTTGGAAACTTAAAAAAGTAAATGGTTAGGTTTATTAGAACAATCTTTAACCAAGTAGGTTAAATAAACAGTATATTTAATGATTTGGTTATTTTTTAAGAACTCTAGCTAATTTAATTTCCCAATTCTCCATAAGAAAGTCTATGTCTCTATTCCAATATTAGGAGAGAGATCTCTTCAAATAAATGAAAATACATTTTCTAACAGCTTTAAGTTTTCCCTTACACATTTCAAATAAAGGTTTATAACCTTAAATCATGAGTATTTCTTTCCAATGAAAATACATTTTGCTCCACATAAAAAATGGAAGTACTGATTTACCGAATGATCAACACTGATTTTTTTTAAAAAACCCAAACACTTTTAATCCTCCAAAATTGGGGGAAAGACATGAGAAGCGTGTTCACTTTCCAAATGAAAACCTCACAATACAAACATCCTCCCCACTAAAAGCTGCAATCCCACAAGCAAGAGCCATACCCGTGTGCATGCACTCATGTGAAAATATCACACACACTAAATTGCACTGAGGCCGTGAAACATGCAACTTAGTAATGTGCAATATCTCCACCAGAGCAAGCAGAATGGGAGCATCAGGGAAGAAGGGTATGATGCAAACATTCTTGACACAACATGCTCTAAGAAGAGGAAAATGGTTTGGGAATGAAGGATGCATGCCACTAACTCAAAACTTCATGAAATGAAAACCCAACCACAAATGCATTTAATTTAGAATGCTTATTCAGAATTGTGAGTGACAATTAAGGTTCAAAAATTCAATGAGACAGTGATTATAAAGTAACCACATATTTCAAAAGGCAAAGCCTGAAGAACAAAGACATGTTCACTGTCTGGTCATGCAATTAACTCCCAATTCCAATTCCATCTTTAACTTACTAATGGACCCCATAAAATGAGTTTAATGAGTGGCTTAACTGCAGCATCAATGATGACTAATGATTGATGCTTATAAAGTCTGTTAATCACTGGTAATTTGCAGACTAAACTACACTCTCAGGACACTATAATACTATTTCATTATCATCTGTACAATATTTTTCCTCTTGAAATGTTTCTCTATGAAGAGCTATGTTCCATCTTGAAGACAATCCTTCAGAACGCAAAGTTTGACAGAAGCTCTTAGACCTAGAACCCACTGCCTTCATATACATGAGAAGGATCTTCAGAGGCATCTATGTAAAACCCATACATTTTTCTTTAAGTCTTGAGTTTGACCCAGAAAAAAAAATAGACCAAAAGCACTTAAGACTGCTAAAAGTCATCCTGAATTGCAACCTTTAATTTATATAATCTGATATAGCTGTGGTTAGAAAAATGGCCCAGGCTGTAATAAGCTCTCTAGTTTTGTACCATTATCTTCAGACTCACAAAAACCTATCAGTTTTGAGACCATTAGGATGGTACTAAGGATTGTTTAAAAAAATTTTTTTTTTGGCCAAAGCTGGTTTGGCTCAGTGGATAGAGCATTGGTCTGTGAACTGAGGGGTCCCAGGTTCGATTCCAGTCAAGGGCATGTACATTGGTTGCGGGCACATACCCGGTAGGGAGTGTGCAGGAGGCAGCTGGTCGATGTTACTCTTGCATCGATGTTTCTAGCTCTCTATCCCTCTCCCTTCCTCTCTTTAAAAAAAATCAATAAAAAATAGGAAAAAAAATTCTGTATTAAAAATAATATGATAAAATGAATGGGTTTTATCCAAGTATACTTTGGAACCAAGACATGGGCTAATGTTAGAGTGCATAATTAGTGTGTGCAAACTCAAGTCGACAAGGCAAATCTAATTTGTATAAAGACACTGTTTTCCTTATATCTCTGAAGATGACTGAACTCTTCTAATCTTAAATTCCCTGTAGAGCTAAAGACTTGAATTTTCAGCCATCAGCTTTATGTGTCCATATGAATAGTCTCAACAGAACCACTAAGTTAACTCATGAACTTCCCAACCAGCTCCTCCTGGAATACCAGAAGGATTATGTGTTTTCATTATCCTGGCACAAAACATAGCTCTGCTTATCAATTACAAGCAACCATGACATTAGAGTATTAAATATAAAGCAAAAGATAACTTGGTTTTCATAACAAAGGATAACTTGATTTTCATGAGAGAGAGAAAAAAACAAACAAATGGTGACTCAATGACCCACATTCATAGGATGGTTAGTAAGTGTTCACTAAGAAAGTAGAACAAGGGAAAATTCAAAAGCTGAGATTGAAAGATAGAAAAGCTTTTGTGAGAATAAGAGTCAGTGCTAATAAAGACTACTTTAGGAAAATAAGCTATTATATTTCTTGAAGTTCTCTATGGACAAGGTAGATATTTTTTTGGTAAATCTTGGCTTAAGTCAACTGACTAGAGGATTCTGCGACTCTTTGAGATGGTGGACTGACTAGCTTTATTGTACTGAGAAGACAGAAGATTATTTTCCTTTTTTGGTAAAAAATTTTTTGGCAGATAAATGGCACTTAGATAAACTCAAGTTAATCTATTGCTGGAGTTTTCATCATTTGTTTACTCAATAAAGATGATAACCAAGAGTCACACAGGCTGAAAAGGACAAGAGTTCTTCCTGAGGAACAGCTTCATCCTGAAAGCTCCCCAACTTAGAGCCTTTTTAGGGGTGTCGAACTCAATCAGAGAAGGGGCCAAAATCTAAAATCCAGCCTAAATCGCGGGCCGAATGGTTTACCGAACAGAAATAAACTGTCATTGTGATGGAAACGCAGCGGAGTGCAGTGATGACAGCGCGGTGCGGGCCACATTGCAAGGCCTGGCGGGACGGATTTGGCCAGCGGGCCTTGTGTTTGACACATGTGCTTTACATGAATGCCAATGCTCTCCCACTCACCCATCCCCCCCAAATCCCCAAAGGTACCATAGTAGATAAGAACTGTATGTTTTTTTTAAATCCAAAATGAAAAAACAAAACAAAAACACTTTGATTTCTAATCAAGGATCCAAGATACTGGTGAAGACCTTACCCAGGCCTTGCTAGTAGGAAAAAGGGAGAAAACCTACCAAAGTTCCCAGAGAGAAGGTATTTGAGGAACATCCAACCTATTGAAATGAGGAGGGTTTTCTGAAGATCCAAGGGGTATCTTCATAGCTGGTACATGAATACATTAAAAAAAGAAGCCAAGAAATGGTTCCTCCTCTCCTCCTGTTGGGAGCAGGAGAGTATTTTCCTCTGCTGTGACTATTCACCATGAGGACCTGGTCTAGCTTTGGAAGTAAATCTCATAAAGTTGTTGAATCTGCCCTATGATTGGGTCCCCTGGAATTTTTAACTTATCTACCATGTGCCTCCAGCAATTCTTAATTTTCCTTACCCTAGCACTGGTTCCCCTGGCAATTCTGCTTCTGAGTCTCTGCTCAGTTCTGCATCATATTTATGGAGTACATCTTGTAGAAAATATACTGCTGAATTGTTGCAGGGAGGAGTTGCTGAATTGTCTTTTGGCTGCCATCTAGCTCTGACGACCCCATATGCAATGAATTGTTGGATTATAGTGCGGAACAAAAACTATGCTAGATCAATACTGGACTGGACTCTGCTCCCAACATGGAAAGAAAGCTCTGGACACTGGCTCTGATTTTAGCTCTGCTGAAGCCCTAGCTACACTTCTTCAATGACTGGACAAAGGGAAATGGGACTTTGGCAACAGGGATTTAATTCCACAGAAATAAAAATCACTCTTTCTAAAAAAAAAAAAAAAAAAAAAAAAAAAAAAAAGAAGCCAAGCTCAGCCACGGATTATCAGTCAAATCAAGATTTCTGCAGAAGACTGGTTCCAAGCAATGGTATATTTTACAAGCATGTAGAAATGCCAGCCAAAGATCCACTGTTCAATAGAAGCTTGCAACCACCTGGCCAATAACTTACTAGATAAAGGAGCTCTAATGGATACCATGAGAAGTTAACATGAGTAGCTATTCATAAGAAGTAAATATGTAGGGGAAGGCTTAGGGTGGAGTGAAAGTTGGGAGGAAGGGGATAAAAAGGGAGATGATGAGAGACATCTGTAATACTGTCAAAAATAAAGATTCTTTTTAAAAAGTAAAAATGTGATGAAGCATTAATGATAAATTCAGAGCAATGAGGGACAAGGCCGAGGCTTCAAAAGGCCTCTCCCAACTGGAAATGAGAAAAAAGAAAAGGGGGGCAGGAGCCTGTGACCTGGAAAAAGCAAGCGAGGAACAAATGTTGAAGCATCTCATTCAGAAACCAAGCCTGCAACACATGGATCCTAGAAGACAGGACGCAAGTTTCTGGCCAGAACCTACAAAGCACACAGCGACTATGCCTTAAAGATAACCCAAAACTCCGCACTGCCAGTGTCCAAACTACCCCTGCAGAAGGCACAGCCTGGCTGCGGAGGGAGAGGAAGACACCCGGAGGCCACCGACACCCTCCCAGAGCAGAGCTGGGATTCCTGAGAACAGGAGGGTCCTGAGAGAATGTGAGGTATATGAGTGAGCAAGTGACGTGATGACTGGCACCCAGAGCAAGAGCCTGCGAAGGAAAAGCCAATGGGGACAGGCCATTAATCTCTGTAAACCGTGGGCTTGAGAGTAGGATATTGGAACTGTTTTGAAATTTTTTCTTAGCAACATTTTCACTGCTTATATAATCGTCTCAAAAGGAGATTTTTTTTTTATTTTTATTTTTTAAACATCAGCAGTTCCCTCACTTGGTTAGCACTGAATGTTACCAGGAAGACTCAAGACAGAAACCGAACGGGCTTCTTGTTCTGGGAAAGAAGAATAGTGTAAATGTTATCCCTACCTGATGGCTTCTTCCACAGACTGGCCAATAATATTAGAAGAAGGGCCTGGCTGAGACAGTGGTGTCAGGCATATCACCCACTTCACGGGCTTGTAGTACTCATCACTGGAACTTAACAGATAAAACAGTGTGGTCAGGAAAATGATCTGCAAAACAAAGGACAGCATCTCCTAAAAAACCACATTTGGAAACTACAGGAAGGACACACCAAAGGCGCCAAGAAGATGCTTCCCTGTGGAAGGAACTGCGATGTGTTCTATCTGTACGTACATACCAGAGAGAGCACGAAGTTGAGAAGGGCCGTCCCGCTGTAGAAGAGGATGGTCAGGAGCGTGGTGACAGTGGTGAAAAGCAGGCTCACGTTTCGGCTCATAACAATCCACAGAGACTCCAAGATCTGAGAGGAAGAAAGCTGAATATCAGAACTAATCCTCAGGAATGAAGGTACCATAAATTGAAAGGATAAGAACTGGAAAAAAAAAATCATCTGAAAACATTTGAATATTGATTAGGAAAGAAAATGATTACGTAAATTATGACGAATCTATTCCAAATAATATTAGACAGCCATTAAAATCATCTCTATTATGACCATTGGAACATATTTTATGATATAATGCTAAGTTTAAAAAGCAGTATAGGAAAATTTTAGATAAATTTAGATAGCATGATTATAACTGTAAAAATGGTATGCATAAGAATAATACCGATAGGAGAATATGTCAAAGTGCAATCATAGCATGTAGGTTCACAAGTGCGGGTCATGAAAATCTAGCATTTGATTTATTAGCTTCCTTCCACCTTTCCACCTTCAACTTAACTTTATCTGCAACTACCACAGCATCTTCACTAAAATCACAATAAAAGAAATGAACAGACAGGGTCAGGGGCAGAGCTCTATAGCTGAAAATTGTTCCTCACATAAACGATGACCCTTCTATTAAGAACTAGAGTTCAGTTGATCCATCACCTACAACTTTACAAGGACCAGATATTAAAATAAAGTTTATTAATATATGTTAACTATTACTAAAGGAAGATGTATATTGTCAATAGCACGCCTGAATGTTTTCCTATTTCTTCATAAACTTACATTCCTTTATGATAATGCCTGTTCTATTCTCCCTGAGTAATATAAAATATGGAAGCAAAATGACCAGAAAAACTTTAAAAAAATTTTTTAAACAACCTTAGTTTTCATCCCATAAACTCACAACACCATAAGGGAAGAAATGCAGGTGACACCATCTTTATTTTATAGGCAAACTGAAGCCCAGAGTTTTTAAAAACTTGCCCAATGGCAGAGAGCTAATATGTGGAACTAGAACTCAAAACGTCTGATTTTATTTTGGTGCCTACCCTTTCCAAAACAGCAGCTCTGTTTTTGTCATATGTTCAAGTTACACCATCTGTGCTGTGAAAGGTTACCCCTTCCTTTCCTACCTCAAATGTACCATTTATTAAAGCACATTTTGTTGTCCTCTGCATTTCCTGCAAACCTCAGCTCTGTCTTCATAAGAGAACTCTGGCAGGCTAGTCTCATTTACAAAAACGCCTTACATAAAATCTTGAAAATGTTTCACAGTGCCTACAAAAATATGCATGATTGACTGTTTGACCCTGCGGGATAAAGGGATGAATGAATAATGGCACTGATTCCAGAGACAAACCAACAATGCCCTTGCTTGTGATTTTGACAGGCATTCTTTTGGGGGGCTCAGTCATGCTGGAATTTTTATTAAAAAAAAAAAAAAAAAAGTTTTGAATAGTTTCTAGGTCACAATGCTAGGAAATGCCCTGTGGTAATTCTTAAGATATTAAATGAATTCATTAATTGTAGACTGGAAGTTGCCAAGATCAAATAACCTCTCTGTATACTCAAGAGGATTGGGAAGTAAGGTTTAGAATATAAGGAAGAGCTGTTGGGCAAAGTATGATGGCAGAAAGAGACAGATACAATTTCAAACTGTGATAGCTCTATTAGGTGAATGGGAGGAAGGGAAAGTGTGAGTGCAGGAAGGAGGGTAGGAGCCAAAGGAACTGTACGAAAATCCCAGAGGAGGAGGAGGAGAGCACCACAGGACTCACAAGAAAGTCACATCTTTACCTGCATCTTCCATATTGGAAAGTCAAAAGATAGTATCTAAAATTGCAAAACCAAGAAAGAGCAGCGTAAACAGTATTTTAGAAATTCAGAGGTAAACACCCATAAAAAACTAAACTTGGGGTGGTGAACTCAACACACAGTACAATATATAGATGATGTATTCTAGAATTATACACCTTAACCCTATATAATTTTATCAATCAATGTCACCCCAATAAATTCAATAAGCACATTTTAAAAATAAAGTGATAAAATAAAACAGAATAAAGGAACTGACAGCTGTTTCTGGAGAATGAGACGGAAGTGGAGAAGCACAAAAAAATTGCTATTTTTCCCCCACTTAAAATCTTAAAGCAGTTAAAATAAATAAATAAATCTTAGAGCATTTTTGGCTTTTCAACTATGGTCATCTATTATTCAGATAAAAAGTAAATTGAAAAAATCTAGCATTGTAAACATCGATTTTTGTTAACTTGGAGCAAGTGTTTTCACAGGAACTTTTTTCTCATTTCTGTGAAAAGCCACAGGCAGACTCCCCACAAAGTACACTACAGAATGAAGAGTAGTCACTGAAACTTCACAGCACTGCTAGCTGTTCCTTGCCACCTTCTAACCTTCGTAAAAAAAAAAAAAAAGGCAGAGGTGGACGGTGCATGGGGGAGAAAACCATATATCCATCTGCCAAAAGGGCTTTGCCCACCAGAGAGGCAGCTCCTCCTGTAGAGGTCCAGCTGGGGCCATTCTGGGCAGCCTCTGGGGACAAGGATCCCTAGCACAGAATCTGAGAGCCGCAGCATCATGCATATGCTCCCTGCTTTAGCATCTCTTGGTTACTCTCCAGGCACATCAAGGCAACAACACCTGAGGTCTACAGGTTTGGGACATCTTTGTAGTGCATTCAGAATTTTCAGAACGTCAAATGTTGTGGCATTAAAAACAGGGTAAGTAAAGTCCTTTTAGTGGGTAAAGAAGACTGAAAGTGAGTGCTTCTGTTTTTACTTCCAAGGCCAGTTTAACTATAAATATTATTTCTTACAGAAAGAAACGTCTCGATGTTCTCGTGGACGAAGGACGCGATATCCTGCCAGTCCAGAATATCTCCCAGCCAGCTGTTCTGACGGCTTATCTGCATCTTGTGTCCTTTGTGCCTTCCAGAGTGTGTTACGTTCTACGGGAAAAAACAGTTCAGACATTAAATCTCCAACTTAACCTAAAGACTAGAGAGTATAAATAACCTCTTTTTAGGTCCACTTAGCACTTTAGCAAACACACAAAAGTGAAAAACTGCATTATTTGAGAAACCAATTAAGAACGCCACCAAGACCTAAGAGAGAGTATTTTTCTGTTAATATGCTAGTTACTGCATCTCAGCCTAGCTTCAGTGCTTCTCTCCTCAGTACATTTGTGGATACACGTTATTCCTCAGTGTATATTCTACTGTAGACAAACACAGCATTTACTTTTATTATTTCTTCCCTTTTAAATACTTCTGCCTTTTTTTTTTTGCTCTCTTATTTTTTGCTTTCTTCCTCCTTTTCTCATCTCCCTTATTAATCTTCTTTCCAAGATAAAGAGACCAGAGGGGAGAGAAAGAATATAAAAAAGATCACTAATACAATGTTAAGTATCAATTATGTATCAATAAAGCAGGGGGGAAATGAATATGGAAAAGAAACGAGGGGAGTCTAACTTGTTTATCTGGAAGAGAATTGCATTGGCAGGAATAACTAGGTTTGAAAAGGCTATGCATAGCCGAGACTGGTTTGGCTCAGTGGACAGAGCATCAGCCTGCAGACTGAGAGGTCCCGGGTTCGATTCTGGTCAGGGGCATGTACCTTGGTTGCAGGCACGTCCCCAGTGGGGGGCGTGCAAGAGGCAGCTGATCGATGTTTCTCTCCCATCGATGTTTCTAGCTCTCTATCCCTCGCCCTTCCTCTCTGTGGAAAATCAATAAAATATATTTTTTTTAAAAAAAGAAAAAGAAAAGGCTATGCATAAATAATTTCACCTGATTTTTTTTTTTTTTTTTTTAACACGGCCACTAGAAAAACTAACATTAGGAGGCTTGCATTACATTTCTCCTGCCCAGAGCTGGTCTAGATGATGAGATGCTATAGCTGATAACGAACGGGTGGACGCTGCCATGGAGATTAACCGTCAATCACTCTGACTTTTTGGGGCCTAAGGTTTAAGACCCTGTAGCTTAAAAATGTCAGTAAGTGAAATTCCAGTATTACTTAAGTCCTACTTAGTCATTGGGTCTATAAAATAAAAGGACTTTATTAGTTTACCATTGAAATCCTTAGCTAAAATAACTTACCTTTACAAACCAAGAATGATACAATCTGTCCCAAAGTTCTAGTACCTGCTTTTCAATCACAGCAGTATTGTTCACCTTATCTCCGAGAATTTTATGAAGCTGGAAGAAATACAGATATAATCTGATTTAATATTCCAGGCAATAACCCAGTAAAACGAACACATGCTGGGTCCTTACATTTGTTCTAAATCAAACTGAAATGTTCCAGACTATTTAATTGCCTCTAGCCACACAATGTTCTTTTCATAAACTTTGCTCCTCAATATTCCCAGTAAATTTCCTCCCTTTCATCTTTTGCTTCTTTTTTCTTTCCTCTATCCTTAGGTCTCAAGGGAGAGTAACTTCAAAAAGTAAAAGAAGACTACAAATAAGGCCATGACTACGGACATCTCTGATCATATTTGCACAGAGAAAAATCTTTCTATGTGACCCCAGTGCCCACCCATTATACTGAAGTCTCATGTTACATTTATCACATTATTAAGAATTGCCACAGAACTTGAAGTGACATTTTAGAACCCAGGCTATAAACGCAAATATGCCCGTTGCTGAGAGATGTCGGGTCTCAGAGTTGTGACTGATCGGACTGGCTTCAGGATGTATGGAAATCAAGTACACCTGAGATAACTTAGAGAAAGGTCATTTATTATAATATCTTACCCCACATTTTGTGTGTTATTACAACCATGTGGTAACATTAAAGATACTTTTAAAAGGACAAACACTGATTTGTAGTCTTACTTTCCTTACTAAAACTAGCTGCTTCATTTTCTTTGCAATTTCTGCCTGTTTACATAGACATAATTTAGAATGCTGCATTTTCTTTCACATCATGAGCTTTTCATATTTAGCCTTCATCACTAACCTTCAACTTTATTATTAATGGTTTCGTGTTAGTTCATTATATTTTTATAGTATTTAATCATCACCAAATCACAGGACACATAGATGGTTCCCAATTTTTAATGTCACAAGTAACACTGCTCATCCTTATATACAGTATTTTCCTTACTTCTAATGTAAGATAAATGTGGAAGAATCAAAGGAAATGAGCATTTTTAATGGTTCTTGCTATGCATTTGTGGACAAACTTTATAAGGATTGTACCAATTAACACTTTCAAACATTCTAAGGATAGAACCAATTTTCCCAAAGCCTTACAGATAACTGATTTTTAGATGACTTAAAAGGTGTGAAGTGATAAGTGATTATACTTTTCTTCTTTAATAACAAGAACGACCATTTTCCATTTTGGTTTTCAATGTGCATTTCCTTTAGTGTGGACTATTCATACCTTTTGCCCACTTGATGCTGGCCTTACAGATGCTTAAACCAGTTCTTGGACATATTTGATGCAAATACATCTGCCCAATGTTGTTCTTTATATTTAATTGATTTATTCAAACACAAATCTGTGAATATCAAAGTTTCATCACATTGTACAATTTACCAATGGCTTTCACCTACGTTATGTGATCTTTACAACAACTCCATGAGTTGGACAGAAAATAGTTTTGGCATCATCTGTGTTCATTTGAGAAAACAGACTTAGAAAGGATCTATGACAGTCCCAGTTACACAGACAAGTGGCAGATTCAGGATGAGAAGTTCTCTCATATTCTTTCAACTCAAGACTATATAACCTACGAACAAAGAACACCTAATAGAGCAAATTACCCCAAATAATTAACCCTTTGCACTCCGAACCATTCTGGACATTGGCTACCAGCTACTCGACGCTAACAGTGGAAACGTGCATTGAATTAACTCAATTCCCCGTAATCACTAATAAACTGCAATGTCTCCTGAGAGGGGACATCCGAGTGATATGCTAGAATTCCGATGTCCCCTAAGAGGGGACAGCGGAGTGCAAGGGGTTAAAAACCACAATTACCCTAGGCTAACTTCCTTTCATTTCTTTAAATTTGTCTTTTGCATAGTGTAACTGTCAAAGACTCACAGACTTCCTATTCCTAATTCTTTTTGTCACTTTCCTATTAGCCTGTGAAGTCTCCCTGGAACCAGGAGAGTTCTATAATGTAAGTTACTGACAGCTCCTTTTCCAGATTGTCAGCACAGTGGCCTTTACTGCAATAAAATACCATTTCAAACTGACATCTCCTTTAGCTGGCTCTCTCCAGGCATGACAGGGAATAACTAAAATACCACAGCTATCACAGTAAAGGAGAGTTCAGCACAGTTTTACAGCATATTATAAAACTGGGAAGACGGGGCCAGAGCGAAGAGCCTTCTAAAAGGATCACTAAAGCACACCTACTGTGGGGGGTTTGCGACATGCTCTTTGCCCGAGAACAGTAAAGCATTAAGGGCGGTCACAATGCCATTTGAAAACTGACTGACTGAAGGCGTACAGCCTCACCAGAAAATGGGGATGACAAGTCAGCACTCATCTTGTGTGAAGCGTTAGCTGACAAAGTCCTTCTTGAACCATTGTCTTCTCTCGGCCTCTGTGACACAGACAGTTTGGGTTTCCTCCTACCGCACAGGCTACTCCTTATGTCTTCTTTGGCCCTGAGAACCTCGTTTGACTACCAAGCTTAGTGATCGTTCCTCCCTAGTGCACAAATAATGAATCAGAGCCATCTTGAACAAGAAGCAAATGGCCAACTTCTGAGCTTGTTCAGGCTATTAGCACTATTCAGTATGATCATGAAAAAACTTTAATTTCACTGTATGTTGCTTGTCGACGTGTAGATATAAACCTATTTGCAAAGGGAAATTATGCTTTATTGAAGCAAGATATCATTACCAATAAAGGACCTGGAAAGAGAAATCCACCAAGAGAGGCTCTTTCCTTACCTTGTGGGTTATCCATTCTCGTCCATACTGATACACATTGTTAGCTGCAGAATTGAGGGCTCTTTGGACTACCTGAGCCTCAGGAAGCCAGCTAATTTAAAATAAAGAAAGAAAGAAAATGAAAACTAGCACACTTTTAGTGTACTGCACCCATAACTTTTTGAACTTGATGTATTTAAACAATCAGAAACTGACAAACTCCTGGACAGCCATTAACACAGAAATACAAATGAATCACACACAAAAATCCTTGACTTACAGGCCCGATTGGCCTAATTCTAATATTCGGAATGTCTTTTCAAGCCTTCCTTATCTTTTGCATCCACTTTCCCCACCACCTCTCTCTCATTCTGCTCTGCCATGTTTTTCTCTGTCCCTCCAGTCCTGGGTCACCTGCTTTATTCACATAGCACCAGAGGAAGTAGTTCTGGGACACTGATGGCCAACTTCTGGAATGCACAATGGCGGTTTTCAAACTGTGGTCCATGGACCTGCAGCATCACGACTGCTTAGAAACCCGGCCTAAACTCAGACCCACTGAAAAAGGAACTCTGGGGCAAGAGCACAGCAATGAGTACTTAAACAATTCTCTTAACTGTTCCTCACAATGTTATGTACCATCCACAAATTGGTTTGAATCTTTAGTATTAACAAGTTTATCATACACGCCACATAAACAAAATCTTTGTGAAGCTTTTTGCAAATTCTCAGTCAGTTCAAGTACTTCTCAGCAAGTAAGATAAAACTTTAGAGAACCTTTTAAATATAATAATCTTACAGTAAAAGGATATGAACAGGAAATTTAAATCTCTAAAGAGATGTGTTTGGGAGAAATTAATTTAAGTATTGTAGCTTTAAATTACTCTAGGATTATAGACTTATAGTGGTTTGAAGGGTCTGTTGTATACTTTCAATTATCTGGCACTACATTTTTATGGGAAAATTAGAGGCCCGATGCAGAAATTCATGCAAGAGTAGGCCTTCTTTCCGTAGCTGCCAGCAATGGCTTCCCTCTGGCACCTGGGACCCGGGCTTCCCTCGCAGCCCTGGCTTTGTCCAAAAGGTCGTCTGGAAGGACATGTGATCTAATTAGCATATTATGCTTTTATTATTATAGATTATGTCCTAGAGATAGGATATAATGTGTGAGGATCCATAGAGACATCCAGATAGATCCTTAATGACTAATGAACAGGTCTATTAGGCCTGATAACAAGTCTTGCTGGTTTCAGTGAAAACTCTTCACCAATGTACTCACAACAGGTGTCATTACAGCAGCAGGTAAGAGGAGCTATCCTGAGGCCAAGTCAAAGACCTATATGTCTGTATGTACACACACACACACACACACACACACACACACACACACAGTATATGCAGTATCAACACTACATGGGCCACAAACACCGAGCAACCTTGGGACCAACTGGGATGGGCCCTGATGGTACACCAACCTCAGCCTCCTTCAATAAGACAGTCACTACCTCAGTCAATCACTAATTCTACTCTTAGTGGAAACCATCTTCTTACATTTTGGATTGGCCTGCCCTCATCTTTCTGGGTAATAGTTAATCTATTTCACAATATATACTTCCAAGAGAACAGTCCCAGTAAAGGAAACTTTCTAACATACCATGTGGCTCCTCAAGTTTTAATATGCAGATTATAATTTCAAATTCCTTAATCTTCGTTCCTATTTCCTCATCTGTAAAATGGATATAATCTCTTTCTAGTCAGTAGAAAGTGGATTCCATACTAATAGAATTGTCCAAGACAAGAATTAAGATGTGATCTGACTGCATTTTCTTTGAAGCTCTGCTAAGGTGACCCTACCCTAAGTCTTGTAATTTATCCACCAGCTCACCAAACACATCCACAGGAAGTCAGGCACCTACACAGGACTTATGAAATGTGCTCCATATTGCAAGAAAGTAAACAGATGAATTCTTAACTGTATCCCCTCTAGGAATATCCATAGAATTTCTCACAAGGTCAATTGCCTTCATCAGGACAGGAATCTACTGAATACTGAGATGTGCGAGAAGCCATTACTATTAATGCATATTCATCCTCACTTATTTGCTTCAAAAGAATCAGACCTTTCATGAAACAGCTTTTTAAAACTCTCCTACATGGAATAGTACTTGATCAGAAACACTGGATTTGAGGGCTGACTCTGCAGTTGATTATAATTTCAAATTCCTTAACCTTCTATCTTATTTCCTCATCTGTAAAATGGATATAACCTTTTCAACTTACTGCACAGTCACTGTGAGGAAGATAGGTCCCAAAGCAGGTGAAAGTACCTTGTAAATTATAAACATGCTATGAAGTGTAACTCTCAATTCAAATATAAGGTATCATTTACTATAAATGGTTTCCAAAATCTTAAGCACTTTCCCATCAATCCCTCTCCCAGATTACATGCTTGCAATTCTTTTGCAAAAATGTCAGCTTCATCAAAGCTTTAGCAAACCCTATCTTTTCTCTTCCAAGGCAATGCATCAATGAAGACCATTTCATGCAAACAGATACTGAACCTAAGTCATCCAACTCCATTTTTGTTTTTGTAAAACAATATTCTTACTTTGCCCACTCAGGGTGATTTGCTAGTGTTTCATTAATCAAACTGCTTGTGACTTCAATCATGTGCACACTCTCCTGATGTACCTGCATCACAAATGAGATAAAAAGAATCTCAATAACAAGTAAACCCAACTAAACATTTATTCTTCTACATTTATTTTTTCTAATTTTCTCTCTATTTATTCTCCCAATTATTACTGAAGCAATATTTTAGAGTCAAATAATTATACATCTTAGTTGCAGTTAATTTAGAAAGATGCATTGAACAGCTGCTATATAATATTCTATCACACAAACTATGGAAAATAAAATGTACATAATAGGTCCCTGCCTTCAAGAAGCTCAACAATTTACTTAAGCAAAAAATATGTAAATAGATACATACAAATACACATATACACAATAATATATATACACTGGTAGTTCATGTGTGTAGTATATGTGTATAGACATATAATACGAATGTGTCTGTAAGTACATATGTATATATATGCAGTATCAACACTAGATGAGCTTACATGCAAGATACACAAATATTAGCAATTGAGTAAGGTTTCTGAGTAATAAAAATAAACAAACTGAAACTACTCCAAATTTACCTTGCCCAATAATCAGCAAAATGAGAGATTAAAAAAGGAGCAGGCCAATGTCAGGAAACAGGCTCTGTATGATTTTACTTAGTTTAAATTAGCATGCTGAGCATATGGTTTATCCTAGTGAGTATTCTACATTTACTTGAAAAGAACAGGATTCTGCTACTGACAGGTCATAAATTTTCTATCTATTTATTCTCCCAATTGTTGCAATAGGAGTATTAGTCAACCTATCTATAATCTTTGATTTGTCCATTTCTTCTTCTAATTCTGAATATTTTGCTTCATGTATTTTAGAGCTATTGCTAGAATATACACATTCATAATTACTGTATCTTACTGTAGTACTAACTTTTATCATTATTTGTATGTAGTAATATTGTTTTAATTGTTTGATATTAATATAATCATACCAGATTTATCATGTTCATAGTTCTCATGATATATCTTTTTTAAAATCCTTTTTCTATATCTTTTAATGCCTTTAAATTTAAAATGTAACTCTTATAGATACCATGTAGTTGGGACAATGATAATTCTTTGCTGAGATGAAAGAGGAGTGTTAAGAACTGAATGTCTGCTTTCTCAAAAATTCATTTGCTGAAATCCTAACCTCCATTGTGATGGTTAAGAGATGGGGACACAGGGAAGTAATTAGGTCATGAGGGTGGACCCTTCATGAATGGGGTTAGTGCCCTTAAACAGTACAAGAGATAGGTAACAGTTCTCTCTGCCATATAAAGATACAAAGAACAGCCATCTGTAAACTAGGAAGAGGGCCTTTACCAAGAACTCAACCACGCTGGCACCTGATCTGGAGCTTTTGCCTCTACAACTGTGAGAACCTCTTGTTGTTCGAGCCACCTAGTCTATGGCATTCTGTTATAGCAGTCTGAACAAAGATGGGAGAGGAAATGTAAGCTGGAAGAACCTGGAGAGTGAGAAATAAAGGCCCTATGCTATATCAGCAGACAGACCAATGAGGTAAGAAGAAAGGAGTTAGTAAAAAAAACTCTGATTTAGTGAACAGGGTATTAACTAGATTAGGAGTCATAAGACTAGATTATATTGGGTCGGCAAGTAAGTAATTGCGGGTTTCACACATATATGGCTTCAGTTGAATTTTTAGGTTTGCAGACATAGTAAAAATGTAAAACACATTTTGTTATTTGATAGTTGGCTATTCAGCTGTTAATCAGTAAAAAAAGTTTTTTGATCTGTTTTGTAGTTTTCGTTTGGCGTTCGTTGAAAAATGGAAAATCAAAAGGAACATTTTCGTCATATTTTGATTTTTTATTTCCACAAAGGGAAAAACGCATCGCAAGCTCATAAAAAGTTATGTGCTGTTTATGGTGACGAAGCCTTAAAAGAACGGCAGTGTCAAAATTGGTTTGCCAAATTTCGTTCTGGTGATTTTTCACTCAAAGATGAAAAACGCTCTGGTTGTCCAGTTGAAGTTGATGACGCCCTAATCAAAGCAATAATCAATTTGGACTGTCACAGTACAACACGTGAGATTGCAGAGAAGCTTCATGTATCACATACATGCATTGAAAATCACTTAAAACAACTTGGCTATGTTCAAAAACTCGATACATGGGTTCCTCACGAACTGAAAGAATCACAGTTAACGCAACACATTAGCAGCTGCGATTTGCTAAAGAAACGTAATGAAAATGATCCATTTTTAAAACGACTGATAACTGGCGATGAAAAATGGGTTGTTTACAACAATATCAAGCGGAAAAGATCGTGGAGCAGGCCAGGTGAACCAACTCAAACAACATCAAAAGCTGATATTCATCAAAAGAAGGTTTTGTTATCAGTTTGGTGAGATTACAAAGGAATTGTCTACTTTGAACTCTTACCACCCAACCAAACGATCAATTCTGATGTCTACATTGAACAACTAATGAAATTAAACAATGCAGTTGAAGAAAAGCGGCCCGAATTGACAAATCGAAAAGGTGTTGTATTCCATCATGACAATGCAAGGCCACACACATCTTTGGTCACTCGGCAAAAATTAATGGAGCTTGGTTGGGATGTTTTGCCACATCCACCATATAGTCCTGACCTTGCATCATCTGATTACTTTTTGTTTCGATCTTTACAAAACTCCTTGAATGGTAAAAATTTCAATAATGATGATGATGTCAAATTGTACCTGATTCAGTTTTTTGCTAATAAAAACCAGAAGTTTTTTGAACGTGGGATTATGATGCTGCCTGAAAGATGGCAAAAGGTCATTGATCAAAATGGGCAATACATTACAGAATAAAGTTATTTAGTTCCATGAAAAAATTGTCTTTGATTTTCTTTAAAAAATCCGCAATTACTTACTTGCCGACCCAATAGTTTTCCTATTGACAGAAGAAGCCACTTGTCCCTCTGTATCTCAATTTTTGTATCTGTATTTACATCTGAGGATTTTGATGATAATAAAATAATGGTGCATGTAAAAATATATTAGGTAAATTCATGGCAAAACTAGTAATACAAAAATTAAGTTATAGCAGTTATACATATTTATAAGCAAAATGACATTTTCCATACTGTCAGTTTCTTAGCCATTCTACACTTCTAACAATAAAGAGTTTACTAGTGGGAATAGTAATTATTGTACTCTACCTTTGCAGTCAGGAGTAGGGCTAAAAGAAGGGTTCCTATTACTAACAAAAATATGATGAAAATGCTAATTATTTTGTCTAACATCTTCTCCAGCCAGATGATTATCTGCACAGAAATAAAAGAGAGGATTACTTAGCTGTAAAATACAACTTAATAAAACACATATGCATTCATATATAATGAAGACAAAATAGGATATTCAACAATGCAAAGCAAACTATGGAATAATGACTAAAGCACTGACAACTGTAAGCAACGTTATAAAATTAGGTATTAATTACTGCTGTTATATAAAGAACTTTTTATTTTCACATCTAAGAAAAAGCAGTCAACAGGAACATAATCATTATATTATGTAATTTACATTTATGTTATATGTTATATCTATAGTATTATAATACTATAATATTATAGTATGTTACATTTCAAATTATAATTTACTAGAGGCCTAGTGCACGAATTTGTGCACAGTTGGGGTCCAATCAGCCCGCCCTGATCGGGCCCAATTGGCTGCAGGCAGTTGGCCAGTCCACCCCACCTCCTGATCAAACTCCCAGTTAACTCTTGGTGAGGGGACAATTTGCATATTAGCTTTTTATTATACATGATAATCTGATAAATATTTCTAAAGAAAATAATGAAAATTAATTAGCTGACCTCAAATATTTTGAAATTTTACTGTCAATTAGCAAATATAGATGACTTTAGAAAAAGTGTGACTTTTATAAAAATAGGTCCTAGATTATATACAGATAAAATAGGAGCAAATTAAAATAGTAATTACTTTCAATATATGTTTTCCTTGATGTCATTAAGATTACAAAACCATAATAAAATGTTACGGTAATGATAAATACCAATCTCAGAATAATAGTTACTCTGGGTGGGGAAAGGGTCAGGGAGGGATACAAAATGGGCTTCAATTATATAAGTAATGTTTTATGAAGTTGGAGGGTAGGCATATGAGTATTCTTTACATCTTTTACTATTTAAAATACTTATTGTATTCTACTGGAAATTTCTATTTTTTTAAAGCATAAGCTTCATGACAAGTTATAACTGACTGCAAATAGAAAATAACCATTAATGTAGTGGTTATTCCTAAGTCAATAATTAAAATTATGCTCTACCTCAATGTTATTTGACATTCTATTTTGAATTTAACTTCTCTCATTTTCCATGATCACAAATAATCCTACATATAAAAATTATTATTTTCAGAATATATCATTCTGATAAATGTGTAGGATTCTTGCCATGCTAAGCTAGTATTTAACATTTCAAAAATACAATCAATTAGACTGGTGACTGCTGAAACACTACATTGCAACCCTCAACTCTAACATGAACTACAAAGGTGCTGATTAATTTATTCTTTACTTAAATCTGAAATAGGTTCTCCAAACAGAGAGTTAAACATCCAAAAGCAAAGAATGGTTATTAAAAACAACAACACAAAATAACATGACTTCTAAAAAATTAATGTCCACTCAAGGCTCACAAGCTTGCATTCCCTTTATCTTTCATGAAGGATCCTGTCACCAAGAGATCAATGCTACAGTACTCCAAGATAAAAAGTTCATCTTCTATCTCCACTATTACAGCTTCAAACAGAAGAGTTAGTTTTCAGTGCATGCCATCAAAGCATGGAAGACAATGCAGAGATTAAAAAAAATAATAACAGGTTTCTAAGATATGGAAGGTCAATGTCATATTTTGAATGTAAGTTCTAAAATCAATGAAATGGAAGTTTCACAATCAGAAACCAACTCTACACATAGTTTTTGAGACAACTTCCTGAATAAGGGCTAGTGTTGTATTACTCCTTTGTTCCCCAAAACCTAACAGTGCTCAGAAAATATATACCTACATAGGCAAGCATAAATTAAATAATTTCAGAAATAAGACCAGATTTGTATTCACAAATTATAATTTTAAAAGTACCTCGAGAGCCTCCATTTTTCTTTTTTAGAAAAGTCGTATCCTAAAATGTATTTTTAAACATAAATGATGCTCTATTTACAAAGTATAAATATCTAAATTTAGCCCTAGTTGGTTTGGTTCAGTAGATAGAGCATCAGCCTGTGGAGGGTCCTAGGTTTGATTCCGGTCAAGGGCACATGCCTTGGTTGCGGGCTCGATCGCCAGTAGGGGATGTACAGGAAGCAGCCCATCAATGATTCTCTCTCATCACTGATGTTTCTATCTCTCTCTCCCTTTCCCTTGCTCTATGAAATCAATAAAAATATATTAAGATAAGTAAGTAAATAAATTTATATCTGGGTATTTTTAACATCTAAAACATGGAATATTCCAAACACATTATGTACATCAACATTACAAAATTAAATGTTGCATTATATTTTTCAACCAGGGTAGAATTTTCTTATCACAAGCTGTAGAACTAAGGGCTGGAAGAAATCCACACTAAGAGTTACCTAAATAAAAATTTATATTCAAGGGATAACAGTAAGGGTTATCCGTTTCATTCAAAATTTAAAATAAAATCATTTATGAAATTCAATTCATAAGTTAAAAAAAGTTGGAGGAGCTTCTATTCACATTATGGGTGGTTAAGATTAGACTTAAAAACAAAACACAGGATGAAAAGATACAGCAAAAGAGAAGGAGAAGTCCTGATCAGGTGGCTCAGTAGGTTGAAGTGTTGTCCGAAACACCAAAAGATTTTGGGTCTGATTCCGGACGGGGCACATATGAAAGGCAACCAATTGATGTTTCTCTTATTTCTCTCTCTCTCACACACACACCTCTCTCCCTCTCCCTCTTTCTCTCTCTCTCTCTCTCTCTCTCTCTCTCTCTCTCTCTCTCTCTCTCTCTCTCTCTCTCTCTCTCTCACACACACACACACACACACACACACACACACACACACTTCTCTCTCTCAAATCAAAGAAACAAGAAACATATACTCAGGAGAGGATTAAAAAAAATAAAAAAGAATAACGAGAGAAAGAAAAGTCAAGAAAAAGAAGAAATAAATGTGGAGAGGGAATTGGTATATAGAACAAAAGCCCAAAAGAGGAGAAAAAATAAACAAAATGAATACAAAACGTATATGGAGGAAGAGAATACCCTGAAAAAGTAAACAGAACAAGACTCAGAAGGAAACAGAAACTCAGACACAGAAAGAGAAACACTCGGAGGAAGCCGTGGAGAAGGGAAGGTGGGGGAAGCCTGAAGGAATGCCTGGGGTGTGTCCCATGAGGCTGAGCTGCCCGTGCCTACTTTGGGCAAAAGAAACCACACCACCTGTCACCACTGCTTTCCTTGCTCACGGAAATCACAGTCCCTAGAATTTTTCCCGTCTTCTAGGCTTTGAGAAATCATTTTAGTTGTTAAACTTTATTTCCTAAAAGGGGAAGAGGAAAAAAATTTTAAGTGACATTCTGGGTGTTTCAAGTGCAAAAATTTAGAGATATTGGTGAATTTATAGTTATATCAAAAGACACTCAAATTTCTAAACTCACTGGCCTTATTGATCAAGCTATTAAAAAGTGTCGTGCCACTACGTAAGTTGCTATTCTATCATGAATGTAGGTTTTTATGATGCTTTAAAAAAAAAAAACAACTAAATTAAGCCTTGAGAAATCAGTTGCAATTTTAGTTAACCATAATATTTGTTCTCTTTCACCCTCACTTCTCATTTTTCTAATTCACTCCACTTGAGCTTGGAATGAATAGTAAATACCCAATGCTGCAATTTCTGACCTTGGATATAATGTGATAAAATGATCTTCAACTTATTTGAGCACTTTCCTGGAGCACACACCCTCAGAACTGCAAGCAGCTGCTCCAGCTCCACACCATGCTTTACCTATGGTTCATGGCATTGGCAAGGAAAAGACAAAAGCTACTTAATCTCTTGGGAGTCTTTTAAAACTCACTCATTAGCCGAAACCGGTTTGGCTCAGTGGATAGAGCGTCGGCCTGTGGACTGAAGGGTCCCGGGTTCGATTCCGGTCAAGGGCATGTACCTTGGTTGCAGGCACATCCCCAGTGGGGGGTGTGCAAGAGGCAGCTGATCGATGATTCTCTCATCGATGTTTCTAACTCTCTGTCCCTCTCTCTTCTTCTCTGTAAAAAATCAATAAAATATATTTAAAAACAAAACAAACAAAAAATCACTCATTAGCTGTAATATGGCTCATGAATTAGGTAATCTAACTCATTTAGCTTTAAATCAAACAAACCTAATGACTTTGGGTCTCCTTTCATCTTTTGAGGAAATTTTCTTTTCAATATATAGGGTGTCCCCAAAAGATGTATATATACACACTTTGAATAATTATAAAGGCAATGTCTGGTAAAATACATTTCATTTGCAAAGTTGAGCTACCAGGTGTTAAAGTATATACACATTTTGGGGAGACACCCTGTACATATACAAATTAGGAAAATACATTTAAACCAACTGCTTTCATCAAAGGGGGTGTGCAAGAGGCAGCTAATCAATGTTTCTAGCTCTCTATCCATCTCTCTTCCTCTCTTTAAAAAACCAATAAAATATATTTAAAAAAAAAAAAGAAATTAGACTTCACAGAACATGACTATCATCTTTTTTAAGTTAAATATAAAATTTTGGAATACTAGTCAATACATAAAATTACCAATCTAGGAAATTACATAAATACTTCACAGATTTATCTTCTGAAATCTTCCTGTGTCACTTATTAAAAAATTAGCCACAAAGAATTCTCTTTCCGTTTTAGTAACTTATGGCCTACGTGCCCTCACACATCAAAGGAGTATCAGGCTAAGCCCATCATAGTGGACAAAAGGACTACACGACTGAACTTCTTACACACACGTGAGCAAGGAGACACTACCAATATCCTGAATAAAATAGCTTTGGGTTTTTAGCAAATTGTACTGGGACGGCCTCAATGCTTCATGACCTTCCATAGCTTATCATTAGAACTTTAATAACGAAAACTTAGTTTGACATACAGACAGAAGGTGTGAGAACAGAGATACAGAGAGAAGTTACAGCACCGAACAGCAAAAACCAACATCCGTGTGTTCATTTACCTTCTTATTTAGCCAGTGCCAGAGCTTGGGGGAGGGGAGGAAGGTGAGAGAGAGAAGGGAAGAACAGTGGAATATCATTAGAGAATGCAGTAACAGCATGAAAAGAAAAGAAAGTCACTGGGAGCATGAGGAGGAAATTATCCCAAACAAAAGAAAAACTAGAGGGGAAAAAACTGCTCTGCATTGTAAAGATATAGATCGAGTGAATGTAGTATTCCTTTAAGATATACAATGATTATAGTGATGATGATAACCACAAGCTTTGCTGGCAATTCAACAATTAAAAATACATAAAATAGTCGAAACCGATTTGGCTCAGTGATAGAGCCTCGGCCTGTGGACTAAAGAGTCCCGGGTTTGATTCTGGTCAAGGGCATGTACCTTGGTTGCGGGCACATCCCCAGTAGGGGGTGTGCAGGAGGCAGCTGATCGGTGATTCTCTCGCATCGATGTTTCTAACTCTCTCCCCCTCTCTCTTCCTCTCTGTAAAAAATCAATAAAATATATATTTTTTAAAATACATAAAATAACCTGAAAGCTTGTAGCCTTAAATAGATGAGAGTAATAATTAAGATCTTTTCGCATATCATGCCCCAGAAGGATTTTCAGTCCCTGTATAAACCAATTTAGGTTCCCATAGTACGTTTTCATTGAACTCTGTAGTTGCAGCTTTATAGTATTAGTTATTTCACATTTTTTAAAGAGTAAAAACATTCTAGTGCGCATTTGGAATAGAGGACATCTGGCTAAACGCAGGCCATACTAAGATTCTGTTACTATATGGTATATTTCCTTCCACCCCAATTTCTTAGGCACATATTTTTCTACAAAAAAGCAAAAGTATTATCTTGCCCTCCCTCCCCCCCGACTTCATCCAAACCCCACAATATTTAGCACTATATTTACTAATGCTAGTTAGTGGACACATAACCTAAAAATCGATAAACACAGAATTTAGAACATTAGTGCTGTCAGAAGTATAAATGCTAATAAAAAGTGTAATTTCATCAGTGACTGTGAATGCTCTTTGCAGCATTTTCTCTAAAGTATACCCAAAGCACGTCTAGGTATTCTTCAAACAATTCTCTGTAGGTGAATCATTTTGAAATACTGGTCCAATCAATTAAAATTTAATAGAAACATGAAAAACAGATGTACTCCCTAAAGCAACAGCCCATACGTATTATTATACTAGACAGAACATAAATTTGGCATCAATTATAATTAAACAAATATTCAGTGTGTAATAGCCATTTATTCTGATTGTTGTACAGCAGAAAAAGCCAGTTTTACTCATTTTACCGTCTCTGTTCCCTAAGAACAACAGACTGGCAAACAAGTTAGAACAAAAATGACAAATTTTTACAAGGCTACCCCTAACAAATGCTTTCAGATTCCTTCAACTGACACAACTGTACAGTTTTCCTAAATGAAGGGTCCAAATACAAGTACATGAGAACGCTGAAAACAGGGTTTAATCTCTATCCTGACAGTGGAAAGACAAAGCATTAACTGAAAATAAGATACCCTCTTTAAAGAGTTTGATGTGCTGAATCTGTTCTCGTAAGATAAAGCTTCTCCCTAATACAAGGGAGATGTGATAAATATGCTGAAATGTATGCAAAGTCTTAGACTCGTTCTTACTTAAAAAGTTGAAAAAAATTAGTAACAATACAAATAGGCAAATTTCACAAGAAAAATATAAATATCCAGTAAGCATATAAAAGGACGGTCAGCCTCATTTTTAATTTTTAAAATTTCAAATTATAACAATAGTGAGATACTTCTTTTTATGAAACGAAAAGGCCTTTTGTTGCACTATAATATTCCTTGGCAAGGGCTCAAGGAAATACATGTAGAAGGCAGCCAGGCAATATGCGAGAAAATGTATCCCCTGCTTCTCCTTTGACCCTGGATATTTCAATAAGCATTAAAAGATTTACTTCCTCCCCCTTCACACACTCGATAATATTCTTACCAATAGCTACTCCGGTTTCACCTGACAGCATTTCTCAACCTAAGTCATGAATATACCTGCTTAAGGAAATAGCTACTAGCTTCTGTGGTAAGAGTCCAGCTCGCACAGCACAGCACACCACACAGAAAGACCTTCTCAATCCAGTCCCATCTCACCCTCCAGGCTTACTTCCCACTAAGCACCGTTCACAAAGCCCAGCCGTGACCAGTTTCTTGGCATGCCCTACACATTCATGCTGTGGAAGTCCCTGCTTTTACACTGTCCTTGCCATGTCTACTCCTACTTGTGCTTCAGAATTCGCCCTGGCATCACCTCCTCTGCAAAACTGCCCCTCTCCCGTTACCTCACCCACACCGAGTCACTTTTTTGCTGAGAACTATCACTGTATCTTGTGCACACTAGTACTTTTCCTCCACGAATCAGAACTACTATCACTGGAAAGAGGTTACTGTGTGCAGGCTCTAATCTGGGAACTGCACAGGTATTAACTCATTTGGTACTCACAAACTACTCTATGAGCTACGTGCTCGCACACTCAGTGTACTGATAGAAAAACAAAGGCACAGAAAGGTTAAGAAACGCATCCAAGGCCACACAGCTAATAAGTAGCTGAACTTGGATCTGAAACCAGAACTTGGACTCTTAACCACTAAACCTGAATTTAACCACTGTCTCTAAATTTTAATGGACTGCTCTCTTCCTACACAGAAATTCCCCATCTAGTTTTCTGTTGATTCATCTGTTTGTTTCCCCCCCCCCCCCCCCAAGAACTTAGCATAATGTCTGACACATGGGAATTATTCCAAAAATATTCACTAAACTGAGCCACTACCTGGCTATAATTTTTAGGCAAGTCACTTACCTCTCTGGATTTCAATTTGGTCCTTGATATCCTATCCTTGTATAAACCATAATTCTAAACTTTAAATTCCACCACAGAATTAGATTTCAATTCCAGTATAAACATCAAATACCATACAATGGAATATTTCAGACAATGAAATAGATAAATTCCACTAAAACAGCCCAAGTTCTCAAAATACGTTACCTTGCTATCAACTTTTAACAAGAATTTCCCGAGTCCGACAATGGGCCAGGGCGCCAGCGCCTCCTGCCGGTCCTTCAGGAAGCGCTCCACGACCCGCCACCACACGGAGCAGCGCTTCCCCAGGAAGTCCACGACGCCAAAGTGAATGACCAGCTTTTTGAGGATCCAGACTATAAAAAGGATAAGAAATACATTTATGAACAAAATGCAGACTACAAGGTTATAACAGGAAAGGATCCCTTAAGTTTCATGTGACCTTTTTAAAACAGTAAAGCTAGTATTTAAGACAAGATAGATTTAAAAAAGGAGAGGAGGGGAAAAGTTCAAGGTATTCCAAATTGGTGGTATTGGGACAAGCAACCTTTCACACAATTCCCGCTTGCTCCCACACATACCACCTTCTTTGTGGAGTCTGAATCCCTGAGGAGTCAGGGATTCTTTGACAGCCTGTTTTGATCATGAAGATACCAGCAACTACGACCTACACCCCTCATACCATATCTCTTCTTGGGTAAAGAATACTAATCTCTGACATGTTCTAACCTCCTTGGCTATTATAGTTGCTGTTGCCAAATTTTGTTATTTTCCTTCGATTTTTGTGTTTAGTGACCAGGAAAGTAAAGGTATTCCACCACCCGCATCATGATTTTATACCACTTCAGGTAACTTTTTCATTTATGCTCCTAATTCTTTAGGTGATGTTGTGCTAAACATCTGAATCTTCTACCAGGATTCAGAAGAGAAGCAGGCTGGGTACAAGCGGGGCTGTTACAAATGGCCCGAGGCTGGGCATTGCACACCTTCAGCGGGGACCATTCCCAGACACAATATGAATGTGCCCTCTGCTGTTAGGCAATGCAGCGCCCTTCAATCAGGGGTAAAGCTTCCTGTAAAGGCCAACTAAGAGGGTGGTGGGACTAGAAGGCTTTATTTTTGCTTGACAAAAAAATTAAATTCTATGTACACATAAAGCACATGTATTATATCAAAACTAGAGGCCCGGTGCATGAAAATTCATGCACTACAGGGGGGGTCCCCTCAGCCCAGTGTACCCCCTCTCACAGGCCAGGAGTCCTCAGGAGCAGGAGGCGACCCGGCGATCAGGGGAAGGTGATGACGCCCATCACATCTCTGCTGCTGCCACTGCCGACAGCACAGTTACCTGAGCCTCGGGCAGCCCGGGTGGCTGGGAAACTGCCATCTGAGGCTTGCCTGAGCCTAGGGCCCACCGCTAAGCTACTCTATTTTAAGGTTGCCTGCGCCCTGGATGTCGGCTGAGCAGGTGACATCTGAGGCTTGCCTGCCAGCAGTGGCAGCAGGGGGGCTGAGGTTGGGACCTGATGCACCCACCCTTAGAGGGTAGGTCCGCATGCCTGCCACACACACACCCCCAGGTGGGGTTGAAAGGGCTGGGGGACTCCGGTGGGGCTGAGAGGACTGGACGCCCCCATCTTGTGGCTATGGGCGCCACCATCTTTGTGATAGTGTTATGGTCAATTAGCATAGTCCGTCTTTAATTAGATAGGATAGAATCATATGGCTTTCATAAATCATTAAGCTAGGTCTTTGTTCCTGAATACCATGGTAATTTAAGGCCCACCTCTATTATGTTGTTCTCTCTAAAGGTATCTTTTAATCATGGTATTCAGGTACAAAGACCTAGCTTAATGATTTATGAAAAGCTGTCTGACTCGATTTTGATTAAAAAAAAAAGAAAAAGTATGACTTATGTACAAAGAACTTAATTTTCTGTCAAATAAAGACAAATCACGATTTTGCATACATTACAGTTCTCACAACCCACATTTCCATTGAATTAAAAATGCAATGTAAAACACACTTCACCAAGAGCAGCTCTCAAAATTCAATCCTAAACCCCTAAACCCAGATTGCTAACATTCTCCTCCACAGAAAGGAGAAATATTAAAGAGAAATCAAGTAGCAAATTTCCAAAATAATGCTTATTTAAATGCAGAAATATGGTCATTTAATTTAAAAAGAGAGTAAAATGATCCCAAGTATTAAAATCCAAAAGGAAAAGGAAGACAATTTCAATGATAAGATGTTGGTTAACGGTCACCTGCAATCGGCACTGGCAGCAGCTGCACGATCCACAGGTTCATCCAGAGCTGGACGGCGATGATGGCCCAGACGAGGACCACGAAGTAGATGTCGCTGGTTTTCTTCTCTCTGGGGAACGCTCCGATCTCCGGCCTCTGCGGGCGCAGCGTGGGCGAAGGGGAGGAAGGCGACGGTGAGGACAGTGTTGGAGGGGGTTCGCCTCTGTCCACAGTTTCTAAAGAGGGAAAGGAAAAAGAATTACCCACCCTTTTAGTCCACATCGGTGAACAGTAACACAGAGTGATTGGCTAAGCTACTCTATTTTAAGCCTTCAAAATGGACTCCAACAGTATGATTACATTGGGTGAAAAAATAAAAAGATTTCGATGTATGTTTGCATATGCACTGAAAAATATGTGGTGAATTAACAATGCCGACAGTGTCTACATCTAGGGAAATTATTTAAATTTGTTTTTGGGGGGGTAAAAAGTTTGTTTTTATACTGTTCAAGCTTTTTATGACATATCTTTATTAAAATAGACATCATTTAAACAAAAAAACTAAAGAAAAATATAAAAAAATAGCTGAGAATTATAATCCATGAAAATTATTCAAACCACATGAAGCAGCAAACATCAACGTATAGAATTCCTATATTTAAAATGTTTTCTTTTAATAGAACTTGATAGTAGGTGCATTTATATAGATATTTCTGACACAAGGTAGCTTTTCATTGTCATTTCACCTAAAATGGAGACAACCACTCTTAGAAAAAGAACCCAGGACTTTGAAACATGTGTTCCTCTTAGAATGAGACAGAGAACAATATTTCTGGGGGTTAAGGAAATTTCCAATAAAGAAAATCATACTACATTATTTCCCATTATGCACTATTTTCTAATAATGCACTACTATGTCTTAATATAAGGTTATATTATTTCTATTTCCTAGTTTTACCAACACATACCATATGTATCAGAAATCATACAACTCTTAAAGCAGTATTACTTAGTATATACCATGATGATGGAAATGAGTAAGATCCTAAAACTTGTATTTTGCCTGCCATAAATAAAATGTAATGATAAAAGTACGTCATATTTCGGAAAGTCTAGAAAAAGAAAAGAAACAAGAACACCCATAGTACCAGTGCCCTGTCTGCCCCATGGTCTTCCCAGTGTTACGTAGTTGTGCCATGTTCCACGTACCCTTGTCCACATTCTCCCTTCAGCTGAACGTCAGCTCCAAGAGAACTAAGACCTTGTCTGTCTTGTTCTCCCTCCATGGAAATCCTAGCACATAGAACAGTACCTGACATATAGTAGGTATTCACTAAATATTTACTGAAAGAATGCCTTGTCTATTATTTCAAAATTTTCACAGGCAACTACACAGTAACCTTCTCAGTGCTCTATCATAATTTCCTTAGTGTTCCTTTTACCATTAAACGTTCAGCTGTGAGTAAATTTTTACCACTGATAGAAACAGCACCATAGTAAGCGAGCCCACCTCCCAGTACTAACATTGCACCCTGAGGTTTGGGGCTAAAGCCAAAGCTAGTCATAAAATGCTTCTGTTTAACTCTGCTCTCTGAGTATCTTTATAATTTGGAAACTACATGTTGGTGGATGTGGCAGACATTTAAAATAATAAGTCCGTAATCAAAACACTATCCTCGCTTTAAAAACATGATTCAATGTGCAAGAAAAATAAGTTGTCCTACTACCCCAAATGCCTTTTCCTTAGCTGACCCTTTCATTCCAGGCTTTTCTAACGTCAGTTCTTCAAGAAAAGCTTACTAAAAATATCCCTAAACTCCCAAACCTCTGGCTCTCATGGGCCCTTGGCACAGGCAGGGTGGCCTTTCACATTCCTGACCTCCACGTGAGCATGGAGCGACTTTAACGCTGATATAAATCTACCAGCTGGGCCTCTTGGGAGCACTGAACCCAGAAGAACCAGAGGAGTCTGTTTTAAGGGAAATGGCCAATAGATTAAGAGCATGAGGCATGCAAAGCAAATGTTGAAAAGCAAGAAATGCCAGAGAAACAGTTCAAAATGAAGAATAAAGATAAGAAACCTAAGAAGGTAAATAATTAAACAGATGAAAAAAGTGACGTGAGAACAAAGATGAGGCAGGATGTAAAAATAGGAATCAGAGAGAAAAATGAAGGATCAGTAGGTAGCATTTTGTAATGCTAGTGTCTTTCTTAATTTTATATTCTATGTGTATTTCATTTTCAAGAAGAATTTTGAAGGCATCTGTCTATATAAAAGGCTAATATATGCTAAGTGTCCTTCTCTCCATCTGGGTAATGACATCACATAGCAACGCCCAGCTTCCTCTCCCTAGTGACAACTAGCCTCCTTGCAGTTTCTGCAGCCCAGGAACACTTTAGCCAGGTGGAAACATTTTACACTTTAACCAAACGTCTGTGAAGTGTTTTCCCGTGCCTCATCTCATGTGATCCTCACAGAAATCCTGAAGTAGGTAGATAGGAGACTCGATGGAATCCTATTTTTTTTTCACTAGCCGGAAAACGGAAATTTAGAAAGTTTACAAACTTGACTCAACTGAAAAGTAAGAAATGGTAGACCTTAAAAATGACTTCAGATTTTCTCACTGCGCAGAATATAGTCAAACACTGCTGCAGTTAAATATTTTACCTGAGTGATCTACAATAATAATCTGCTTCCATTGATATTTACTGATGTGTTGCTGACAATTACCTGAAAGAGAAGTTGGGGTGCTTCACTGGGCTGGAAAAAGTTTAGCTAAATCAGAAAACAGATCTAATTAAGCAAGTTTGTTCTATATCCTTAAAAGGCTAAGTTGGCTCGCACATGTACAATACATACAAAGCTCTCGCTGGCACCAATCGTATGCATGTGTTTCCATTTGTAATTGTCAATCGTGAATTTGGTTGACACTTCTATCATAGAGAAAGGGTGAATAGCATTATTAAAATATTTCTTCTAATTAATTTCCTTTTAATGTGCACGATTCGCACCAGGCCACTAGTTCCTTCGTAAGGTCAGTCACCTGCAGGCTGAGTGGAGGGTTGGTCTTCAGTGCTCGATTCATACCCTGTGATAGAGATGGCCAAGGTGGCCAGAGTGGAAGCAGCCATGGAGATAACTTGTCCTGGTAACTCTGCCCCTGTAAAACAAGCATGCATTTTTAAAACTTTTTAACGCAAATGAACAAAGTGGGAATTAACTTGCAAATTGAAACATAGTAGTCCTAAATTTTTACTAGCAATAAAATTTTTTTTTTAATATACATTTTTATTGATTTCAGAGAGGAAGGGGGAGGGAAAGAAAGAGAGAGAGAGAAATAACAGTGACAAGAAAGAGTCATTCACCTGCTGGCTTCCGCACGTCCCCGACTGGGTACATCCCAGGCATGTGCCCTGAATGGGAATCAAACCGTGACCTCCTGGTTCTCAGGTCGATGCTCAATCACTAAGCCACACCAGCCAGGCAAAACAAAATGGTTATTAATGATCCACCAGACCAGTGGTTATTTGCCAAGAAGAGCACACAGAAAATCAACATAGAGCCGAAGCCGGTTTGGCTCAGTGGTAGAGCATCGGTCTGCGGACTGAAAGGTCCCAGGTTCGATTCCGGGCAAGGGCATGTACACTGGTTGCAGGCACATCCCCAGTAGGGGGTGTGCAAGAGGCAGCTGGTCCATGTTTCTCTCTCATTGACGTTTCTACCTCTCTATCTCTCTCCCTTCCTCTCTGTAAAAAATCAATAAAATATTAAAAATAAATAAATAAATAAATAAAATAAAATAGTCTTTAAAAAAAATCAACATAGAGTATCTGAAAACTATCAAGGTAAGATTAGGAAACTGATCTTATTCAAATAGGCATTCTAACGACTTCTGTCTTAGTGATATCCACCTGCACTGCAAAAACCCCAAGGGTTTGGGCAAAAAGGATGACAAAGTAGACAGAAAACTCCAGGACTGAGAATCTAGACTGTCATGGTACTGGCAAAAAGTCCCAGCTAAAAATAGACATACAGACAAAGAACATAATCTTGGGGCCCAAGAACTATAAACAAAAAAGGAAAGAGCATCCAAGGTTTCAAGTGTCCATCTACCCAGGGATAGGGCGAGCAATCAGAGGTCCAAGTAACAGGGATCTACGCAAGTCCAAAGCAGCAGGCCACTGACATCAGCAGCCTGGCTCCAGGGGACAGAAACTCATAATCCAGCAAAAGGAAAAAGAATAACAAATCACATGTTCAAACTTTATCTGTTAATAAGCAATGGGAAGAATAACATTTTTTTTTAAATCAGGGGAAAATATATTTTGAAACCAATCTAATTGAGACTTGATTCTTGTGTGTCCATTACTAATGTGGAAAATACATTTCCTTCTCAATGGTTTCCAGGATCATCTCGTTGTACTATTAGTCAGTATCAAGGATGTGGATAAGTACCAGTTGGAGGTTCTCTGTGTCTCTTTAACTGACAGTGTCAGAAATGGGGAGTGGAAGATGAGCAGTAAAAAAAAAAAAAATCTAGTTTGTTCCTTTTCTCTTTCCAATTTGGGCTTAACTGGACCAAACTTTTTCACTCCTATTGCATGCTGTCTTAAAACAATTAAGGCAACCACCAAGTCTTCCTGCAAAGAGACTTTTAGAAGGTCACTTATAAACAATTACCAATGTTAGGAGGAACAGATCCAGCTTCACTTGCCCGTACTTCTCAAGCTGGGTGTCCAGGCTGCTAGATACAGCTGGTGTGTTTGCCTGGCTTTTGAAGAAGTACTTCTCATATTCAGAGTAAATTTAAATGAGTAAAAGACATGAGACAGCATGCCTCAAGAGTCTACCAGGGCCTTGCCCATACTGTCATTACTAACAACAACGCTATTGCTCCCCTTTTCTCACAGGCTAAGGGAACAAACACATCGAAGCCGGATTCCAGGTTTCTACCCAGTGAGACTCTGGGACCCAGGAGACAGAGCACCTAGGTCCCACCGCTGTGGTAAGCCAGGGGAGCCAACATAAAAGACTGAAGCAGCTGGCAATCACAACTGGGTTCAAGAGGATCAGCAGTCAGACCTTTCCAGGGTGACTGACGCTTGTTCAAAGAGCCCGGCGAAGGGAAAGAACGCTAGGCTTAGGGGCAAAGACTTGGGTTTATCTCTTAGCTCCACCAGTCACCAGCTAATCTCTGGGATGAAGCATGGTACACATTTAACATTTTTTCTCTACATTATCTTGGGGGGTTCCAGGAAATACCAAGAGCTCCCAAGGTCTAAGGGAAAACACTGGCAAGGCCCCTGGATTCAGAAGGAGCCTCTAAAGCTAACTCAGCAATGATTCACAAGAGGAGTTTTGTGGGCGTAATGAATTCTGAGGAAATCCAAAGGATTAATTCATTCTGTGAATCCAGTGAACCACAGGTCATAAAAGCATCCACAGCAGCAAAAGATTCAAAGCTCAAAAGACACTGAGAGAGATGCCTGCACAGGTGACTGGGATACAAGAGCAGGTCCTACAACGAAAGGGGCAGTGGAAAGGACAGGGGAGGAATAAATGCACGCACACAATGGCAGTACACTGAAGCAGTCCTGTACCTAACTACGCTATGGTGACATCTACAGGAGGGAACGGACCATAATCAAAGGAAAAGGCTGTGTCCCAGTATGGACTAGGTCCATGGTCGGCAAACCGTGGCTCCCGAGCCACATGCAGCTCTGTGGCCCCTTGAGTATGGCTCTTCCACAAAATACCACATGCCGGCGCGCACGTACAGTGCAATTGAAACTTCGTGGCCCATGCACAGAAGTCGGTTTTCAGTCTGGGCGAGTCTTTTGAAGAAGTGGCATTAGAACACTCAAGGGGCCAATGAGCCACATGTGGCTCGCGAACCGTGATTTGCCGACCACTGGACTAGGGGGTTTGAGTTCTGATGCCTCAAAGAAACAGGTTCTAGGGACAAGAGAGAAAAAATACTCAGAAATTTAGAAAAAAAAAGTTTGAAAGATTTATTTTATTATAAGAATTGTCTAGACTAGAAGTCCATAAAAGGATTCTAGATCAAGAATTACCTATTCCGAAGCAGGCTGGAATGAGAGCTGTTTGCCCTTTTAGCTTATGTATACCATCAGAAAGAAACAAGGAACAAATGTCAGACACTAGAATAGCTGTGTGCTCCTCAGATTTATCTCTCAAGGCACAGCTGCCTCCCCATGGCTGGTCAACGAGGAAGTCCAGTCTGATGACCTGAGCACTATTGCTCCCCCACCCTCAGCTGTCCCCTTACAACTCATTAGAAAGTCATATCTTTTAACAAACTGCTTTTGAATAAAACCATTTACAGCCAAAAATAATATTTAAAAGAACCTGGTGTATTGAACATCGTACTAGAAGTTTTAACCATAGAAATCAAGCAAGAAAAAAAACAAAGGGCATCCAAATCAGCACGGAAGAAGTACAACTATTTGCAGATGACATGTTCTTACATATACAAAATCCTAGTGAATTCACACCAAAAAAAAAAATTAAAGCTAATAAGCAAATTTAGCAGAGTTGCAGGATACACGATGAACACAGGTAAATATTCATGACCATGGATTTGGCAATTAGTGAAAGCAACAAAATTGGAAAATTCACAAATAGGTGGAAATTTAACAACACACTTGAATCCATGTGTCAAAGAAATCAAAAGGGAAATCACATAGAATCTTTACTCAGGGAAAATAGAAACACAACATATCAAAAAAGGAGTTCTAAGAGGGCAATTTATATCTATAAAAGCCTACATTAAGAAAGCACAAAGATCTCAAATTAACCTAACTACAGAGTTAGTTGCTTAACGGGTAAAGATTTCCTTTTAGGGTGATGACAGTATCTTGGAATCAGGCAGAAGTAATGGTTGCACACACTATGAATGTACTAAATGTTACTTTAAAAATGGTTAATTTTATAAGTTATACCTCAATAAAAAATGCAAAAAAGAGGCATGAGATATAGTCTAACAACCTAAAATATTTTAAATAAATTTACTGTTCAGAAAACATCATAGGTTTTTAAGTATATTTAAAGCTATTTCATCATAGCATTTTTTTTTAAAACAAAGCTACTCTTAACAGTAATATTAATAGATGCCTTATTTCTTACCAGAAGATTCTTTTCCATTCTGTTTTTCATAGAGGGTGCCCACTGACATCAGGAAAACAATAACCAGGAATACTGGAATTCTCCATGAGCCAGCCAGAGATGCTGCAAATTATTAAGAGTTAACATTTTTAATTTAAAAAAAAAAAAAGAACCCAACACTTTAAAAGAACAATTTGGCATATATGTTAACAAAAGTGTTTCATAGGGAAAATGACAAAAAGAAAAAATGACAGATGAAACCTAAATACCGGCCTTCTCTAAGAGGCCCCTGGTCCCAAGGACTGGGCAGGTACCAGCCTACCTGCAATAGGCTTGTGTCACTTGAGGAACAAAGTCCTCTCTGAAGCATGTCCAGATTTTAAGACTATTTCAAACTCAAAACGCCCAAGTAATCCCACAATGACCTGCATCAGGCATCTGCATAAGGCATGGATCCTAAAGTCATGTGGCCTCATTTGATTTCCTAAAAATACTGCTAGAGGTGAACTGTCTCAAGAAAGGGGGGAAACAGCCCAAAAGAGCACCGCAAAAAGCTTCGACGTATCCTCCCTGGTGCAGAATGCTAACAAGGGTCTACCATTAGCCTAGAGCCTTATGGACCTGCCTCCCTCCTCTGCCTTCCTCCAATTCAAAATGAGTCAAGTCATGTTTTAGGGGGTCTTGCTGATAAACTCCTCCAGCATTCCAAGTCAGCAAAGTTAGAGGGTAACCCTGCCCTCAACTCTGGGCTCTAAGGAGAGACGTATTTTCTCAATCAACTCTTTTTTTTTTTCTCCTTCCAACTTTTAACAATAGCTAGCTCTAAAAACTACTTTAAATAGGCTACCTACTACTCGTGGTTACTAATTTTGTTTTTAAATTAGAACTAAATATTTCCATAGACTCAGACTTGAAAATAAGAAAAGTCCCTGAAAACTCACTGTATAGCAGTCACTCAGTGAACAGTGCAGCCCCAAATAACAGAATTATGTTGTGCAGCTCTGAGGCCGATCTTCCTTCTGTTGAATGGAGATTTTTCCCTCTGAAACTATTCGCTGCTGTACCTCTCTCCCACACGTTTAAACCACTTTCCTGGGACAGGCTTCCATGTCTGATATCCTCCTTACCTCCACCTCTCCCCGCCCAGCAGCCCAGTCCCCTCTCTTATCCAGAGTAAACATCTCCGGTTCCTTTCACTGTTTCTCCCCTGTGATTCTGAGCACCTCTTATCATACTTGACTGCTTATCTACATCCTTCTTCAGGAAGACACTCAGAAATAGCCATGATAATAATCCAAGTGTGCTCTCCTTTTTAAGATGTGGTTATTTTTAAAAGGGCCTTTTTGTAAATGAGCATTCCGTTTAACTAAAAGATAGACATTTTAAAGCATAACATTTTCATTAAATTATTAATAAAATATTAAAGCAGAATATTTTCTAGAGATTACTTTAAAGAATTTTAAATATAACATATAACACTACAAAAAAAAATCACTTTGATTTGCGTGGTCTGCCGTTGCTGACCTTAAGCTAAACTTTCTTAGAAAAAGTGACCCACCTAAATGAAAAAGCAATATAATCCAGACAGGAATTGAAATTGCTCTCAAGTAGCGCTCAGTGCTTGCATTCCACTTGAATGAAACAGTCAACAGATAGCCAACTACCAACGTCCAGATCTTAAATAAATGAAATATAGACACAGTTGTAAAATATATACACATGGAAATACATACAATTGTACAAAATGTGCAACCATCTATATCGCGTGAGAGCTGTGGTCACAGCACAGAGAAGGCTGCTGGCAGGTGCTGCTATAAGGTCAGTCAGGTTTTAAGGTAAACAAGCATTTAAAATCCCATGGAGTGATGTTATTTAAATATTTTTAAGCAAAAATACATTAGTTTTAACTTAAGAAAAATTAAAGTTCAAAAACTATTATATGCACAAAGATCCTTAAGGTAAAATATTTCATTTTTAAGCCATGGAGTTTATGAAATTCTTTAAGTTTTCTCTATAGATTAATGTATCTAAAACACACACACACACACACACACACACACACACACACACACACAAGAAAAGGTTAAAATAATAATAAGTACTATGATTCCCATTTTACAGATGAAAGAAACTGAGACTTCAGGGAAGTGACTTGCCCAAGGTCACACAGCTAAAAAGTGACAAAGCAGGGATCAGAACCCAGAGTCTGCTTTCTTAACCAGGAGAAAGAACCGTGGTGCTAAAATAAGTAAATAAAGAGGAGAAGGAAATGGAAACGACAACATTGGAGATATGGTTATAGCGGGAGGGAGGGGGGCTTTTAGCTTAGAAAAGAAAAGGAAATGTCAAGATTTGATAGCTATCTTTAAATAGCTGGGAAATTCCTCTGGGGAAAGCATTAGACAATCTTCTGAAAATTTAGGTAGGATTAGGAAGCAACCCATTTGAGCTTAATCTGAGGATGAATCTTTCTAACAAACTACAGCAATCTAAAATTGGAATAAGGCTACCACCACTAAGAGTGTTTGAGCCAGGGCTGACCATCAGTCAGGGATGACAAAGTGGGAACATCTGTCCCTTAGCAGTGAGAAGTTAAACTAGAGGATCACAAAAGGTACAAACTTTCAGATTTTAAATCTACATTTTAAAACGAATCTCCAAGAAGTTTTGTTCTTTGTACTTAGGAATCAGTATCACTATTAGGGAGAGAGGAAAAAAACAAACGAAACCAGACTACATACTTCAGATTTTCTAAGGGAAACTCATGGTCCAAAGTGAAGCATTTTCACCCAGTAAACCTGAAACTCCAGATCATCCCATTCCAGTTTAAAATGACCACTGAAATAGACACCTCCGTTCCACTTTTAGGAATGTTGTCTACAGAAGCACTGTACACTGTGCAGACAGATATACAAATGCGGTGGCAGTTTAAAATACTAAAAAATTTATAACAAGCTAAAATGTCATTTTAGAACTATTTAAATAATGGTAGTATCTCCAAAAATGAAACAATTATTCAGACTTTCAAAAACATGATGAATATCTATATTCAATGATACACTATAAATTTGTGCAAGTGCAAATTTATAATGGTCAAATATACTCTCAAAATGCTAAAAATGTGTTCTCCCTGGCTGGTTGGATTTCAGGGTTTAATTTGCTTCTTTATGCTTTTCTTCAAATACTGAATTTTCTCCTAAGAGGATTATTATTTTTATAACTAGTAAATGTTTTAAAAAAACAAACAAAAAACAAACAAACAAACAAACAAAAAACACTTTGCCTTATTTTGGATTTTTTATCTTCAATATTTTGAAGTATTTCCTCAGAAGAGTCACAGAATATTATTAGTGCAAAAAGTATGGCCCTTTATAAAAAAAACTTAGAGTTCCTATTAAACCATTACTTTACAATGACCAATGTTTAAAAATGTTTACCAGGTTATCCTAATACAGATTCACAGTTAATATAATCTGGTTAGAACACTTTCTAAAAAGTCTGTATACTATAGCACTATTTAAAAAAAGAAGCATAATCTGTAAGTACTAACAAAGAAAGATGTCTACAATACAATGATAAATTAAAGACCAAGCTGCAGAGTTTTATACATGTTATCCTCATTTTGTTTTAAAAAGCAAAAATCCTACACTTTATATATCCACATAGGCTTAGAAATAAATTTAGAAGACTATTTGTCAGTAACAACAGTAACATTTGTACAGTAGAAATGATAGCAGAAGAGAGACAATAATTCGGTTTTACCATAAAACTTCTATGCTACTTAAATTTTTAAAAATATAATAAGCATGTTTTACTTGAGTCAACTTTTTAAGTTGCTAAATATTCTTTAAAATAACTTAAACTCAAAATAAGGATTTGGACATTCAATTTCCACACGTAATTTCTAGTATGGATTCCTAACTGGCCTTTAGGAGAGTTTTTTTCTTTCTTTCCCGAAGAGATATGCTTAGCTTCTGAGCAAACCTGTTCAAGTATGAATTTTCTTCCCAGCATAAATCAATGAGCAAAATGTATACACAAGAGGTCATACCTTCCCAAATGTATTTTCTTTAAAACAATGTGTCCTTTTCAAAATATACATTCAATGCTTGTTTTGAATCATTATATAAGGATCTGCATAATGTATGCTAGATACTATATTAAGACTGCATAAAAATTGGCAATGCACTACAAGTAAAGCAAACTAAAAACAAATTTTTAGTTAGAAAGTCACATTTGCCATTCACTTGACTTATTACCCATATATACTTCTCTGATTAAAAAATAGTAAATGCATAAGCTGTAAGTAGATTCTGCCTTTTAAACTAAGTCATTGTTTTCTTTATTTCCATCTGGGCATTAACTAGAAAGACAACTTGGCTTGCTTCTGTTGCATGTTTCTGCAAAACAGTTTCCCAAGTCTTTTTTCTTCTTCTTACTTTCCTAAGTCTTGAACAAGAGAGACTAAACCAACAGACTTCTTCCCAAGTTATGGAGCCACAGCCCTCATCACAGCCCCCATCACCTCTTGCTTCCAGGACTTCATTCTCTTTTAAGACAGCTTAATGCTAACTTGAATAACTGTTCTCTCTGTGGTCTGGGAACTTGAGTCAAGAATCTTATAAAATCGAAATCGTCCCCTGAAATCTAAGCAAGCACTGGAAATCCTCCTCCTCACTGCTGCCAGACAAGCAGAAAGGCACCGGGGCTCAGAAGTGGCGCTGAGTAGGCCTGGATGGCTAATGCACACTTCCTGAGAGCCTCACCTACAAGGCTGCCAGACTCCCCACGCTGTAAAACTAAACACCAAGGAGCCTCAGAAACCCTCCAAGTACCAGAGAGGAGGCCTGGTCTGTTCAAGGTCGAGAAGCAAGTTACTGACAGAGCTCAGCGTAGAATTTATACTCTTCTCATCTTTCAGCCACTATTCTTTCCACCACAGGCTTCTTTATGAAGTGGAATGAGAATAATGCGATTATAGACCACGGAGAAAACAAACCTATTACTAATGCAAATATTGTAAATGGCCTGCGAATGTTCCAACAAGTCTGAATTAATGGAGGGAAGAAAAGCAAGACACTCCCAGCAAAGAAACATGGTGGAGCAGGGGAAGCCATGAGCTTTTCATATTTATCTGGACAAACCCACGCCGCCACCACTAGGAGAGATGCCAAGTACCTGAAGGACTGAGTCACATGTGAGCATGGGCCAACAAGTTATTTTTTTTAAGTGTTTAGAAATCACTTAAGGAGTCAGTGCAATATCATAATATATTTGAAACTGTTCAAAAAGAACTACCCACACCATAAATGATTAGTCTTCACTGTAAGCAGGATGCAGTTAGGAGACATAGGAAAAGAGCTAAGAGCCTACCAGTGAGGGGAAGAGGAACGGAACGAGAAAGATAAACTGAGAACAAAGGGAAATAAAGGCACTGAAGTCGCTACAAAGGAAAACTGAACAGGAATTGAAGATAACTGAACAAGGATAAAAGCAAGGAACAGAGAGATGGCTAAGATTTCTAGTTGACTAGAATCCAGGGGTCTTTTGGGGAACACATGTGGTTAGTCCAATCCCTGATGTTCTTCCATTTTTCCCTAATAACTAAAATCAAATCATACTAAAAACTTAAACTAACAATTTAAACACAACGTACTGGAGTAAAACTTTTAAAAATCCTTACTGAAGGTCTTAATGACAAGGATTTCAATTGCTGACAGGTCTGTTGAATACAATTTACTAACAGAAAGAATAGCCCAGCCAGTGTGGCTCAGTGGTTGAACACCAACCTATGAACCAGAAGGACACAGTTCAATTCTCCGCCAGGGTACTGCCCAGGTTGTGGGCTCGGTCCCGGATAGAGGGCATGCAGGAGGCAGCCAACCAATGATTATCTCTCATCATTGATGTTTCTATCTCTCTCTTCCTCTCCCTGCCTCTCTGAAATAAAAAATAGATTTTTAAAAAGAACAAATTAATCTCTAGTCAGTCTTCTCACCTGTAAAATCCCCCCCTACTGCACAGGATTGTTGTGAGAATGAAATAACACACACGAAAGCACCTAATCCAGTGCCTGGATCATGGCTCAAAAATTGCATCTCAATGCCTTAGCTAGTTTGGCTCAGCGGACAGTGTCAGCTTTCGGACTGAAGGATCCCAGGTTCGATTCTGGTCAAGGGTACATGCCCAAGTTTCAGATTCGATCCCCAGTGCAAGAGGTAGCCAATCAGTAATTATCTTTCATCATCGATGCTTCTATTCTCTCTCCCCTCTCCCTTCCTCTCTGAAATCAATAAAAATAAATATTTTTTAAAATTGCATCTCAACTGTATGAATTGTCAACTCACCAAATGCAGATATGTGTAAATACCTTTCCCCTCTGCCTCTCCCATCTATTCATGCAGCAGGCTCAAATTTACAAGTTGTCCAAAAAGCATAAAGACTCGTTTTCTTTAACAGGCAGCCCTGCTTGGGATTACAAAATCAAACTGACTGTGAACTATGTGACAGAAAAGTTACAGCGTGGGACCCCTGCCCAGTCACATGACCTATTTTCAGGTCATGTCAGGCCTTAATCAGCACTTTTGCCTGAGAGCTGAAAACACCTTGTCTCTGCTTCCCAGGTACACCTCACCCCCACCCACCCCCCCCCCCCCCGCCCCCCCGCCCCAGTGCTGAAGCACAACTGCAAGCCTGTTTCTCTCAAACTCAGACCAACCTCCGGCTCTACTTTCAACTTAGTCCCTCTACCACTCCCTACTCAGTTCTAATGATCTCATATTGTCTCTTTACACCCTTGCCCCTACTACTACAGCCAAACAGCTGAGTTTCAAGCCTTTTTTTTTATACCATTAATTGTCTTGACTTTCCTCCCTACCTCTAGCACAGTGGTCAGCAAACTCATTAGTCAACAGAGCCAAATATCAACGGTAAAATGACTGAAATTTCTTTTGAGAGCCAAATTTTTAAACTTCTTCTAATGCCACTTCTTCAAAATAGACTCGCCCAGGCCGTGGTATTTTGTGGAAGAGCCACACACAAGGGGCCAAAGAGCTACATGTGGCTCAAGAGCAGCGGTTTGCCGACCACTGCTCTAGCTCAACCAACCTTGGCCCTTTCTCCTCAGCCACAAACCATACAAGGGCATTTAAGTAAAATACAAAGATGAGGGTTTATGTTCAGTAAAACAATATTCAAACCTATACTGTATACTACACTGAGTTGAGAACACCTTTTTAAATATATTTTATTGATATTTTACAGAGAGGAGGAAGGGAGAGAGATAGAGAGCTAGAAACGTCGATGAGAAACATGGACCAGCTGCCTCTTGCACACCCCCTACAGGGGATGTGCCCGCAACCAATGTACATGCCCTTGACTGGAATCGAACCTGGGACCCTTCAGTCCACAGACCAACGCCCTACCACTGAGCCAAACCGGTTTCGGCGAGAACACCTTTTTAAAAGTATCTAATTTAGGGGTGTCGAACTCAATCAGAGAAGGGGCCAAAATCTAAAATCCAGCCTAAATCGCGGGCCGAATGGTTTACTGAACAGTCATAAACTGTCATTGTGATGGAAACGCAGCGGAGTGCAGTGATGACAGCGCGGTGTGGGCCACATTGCAAGGCCTGGCGGGATGGATTTGGCCCGCGGGCCTTGTGTTTGACACATGTGAATTCTAATTCCTCATCTCTTTCTCTTGAGAGTTACTGACAGAAATGCTTCATTTTCCACTACTCATGACCATTTACCCATGTATTTAACTTCTTATTCTAGTATGAAAACACACCACATCCGTTAGGGCTTTCTTTTCTACCCTCCTAGAGTGCAGTGGATAAGATAGTTGGCCTTGGTTACAGTAATTTACAGTAAGTTGTAATATCAACAGTCGAAAACTGTTAGCAGACTCTATAAACGTGTCTGACTTTTGACAGGATTGAATTTCTTGAGGATCTAGGAATCTGGCCAAAATAGTCTTTCTATTTCTTAACAGCATATACTATTCTGCTTTCTGCGTAAGAGGCATTCAATGAACTTTTACCGAACTGTGAAACATTCTCTGGACCTCAGAAACCTCTCCTGAAGAGAAGCAGGCACCCGGCAGGAAAGAGTAGCTTAACTCTGGGGTCACTTCTGCCTGACAACCACAAGATCCCCGAGTTAGAGGGGGTTGTTGCACACCCTCCCTCCGCAACTGAAACTTAGAGGCCAAGGCTTCTGTCTGACCACTCAGCTGCTGCACGCACGCACCGGCAGCATTGCAAAATTATGGATGAGATGTTCCCCGTTACCTTGCTGGCCCATAACTGGTGGGTAATGAACATATGTATTCCTGTGAGTCTGTCATCTCCATTAGATTATGTACACGTATGGCTATATGCACCTTGAAGTAAGAGCCTTCATCTTACTGCTTTTCAATCCTTCACAAAGCCCAGCACCCAACATAATGGACTTTTAACTTGACCTGAGAAGTGGTATTGATAGACCAAGAGAAGACAGCAGTTCTGGGATCAATCATCACTTTACCAATAACTTCGAGCACGTCAATACCCTGCTGGACAGATGAGGAGAATTGTTTTGCAACTTGAGAAACATTGACAAAAGAGGATTAAAAAATTCTAATGGGTCCTAACTGGTTTGGCTCAGTGGATAGAGCGTCGACCTGAGAACTCAAGGATCCCAGGTTCAATTCCGGTCAAGGGTATGTACCTTGGTTGTGGGCACAAACCCAGTGAGGAGTGTGCAAGAGGCATCTCTCTCATTGATGTTTCTGACTATCCCTCTTCCTTCCTCTCTGTAAAAAAAAAAAAAAAAAAAAAAAAAATCAATAAAATATATATTTTAAAAAATTAATAGTACTCTTTATTGATAAATTGGCATTCTTGTGCATTAAATATCCACTTGCGCCGGGACCGGTTTGGCTCAGTGGATAGAGCATCGGCTTGAGGACTGAAAGGTCCCAGGTTCGATTCCGGTCAAGGGCATGTACCTTGGTTGCGGGCACATCCCCAGTAGGGGGTGTGCAAAAGAGGAAGCTGATCGATGATTCTCTCTCATCGATGTTTCTAACTCTCCCTCTCTCTTCCTCTCTGTGAAAAATCAATAAAATATATTAATAAAATAAAATAAAATAAATATCCACTTGCTTTTTAAATATCTGAATGAACTGGTCTACAATCTGATCTGAGTTAGGAATTGTGTCGCTCGATTATCCTTGAAGTCCCTTCCAATTCTAAAGCTCCCCAATTTTCTAAGAATGAGCCCAGAGTGATCCAAGAATCAGGAATCTACCTCTCTTCCACCCAGTCTGCTTAAGTAATCCACAGGAGGAGATGCACTGAGGTACAGCTGTGCTTGCACAAAGTAAGTAGCTCCAAAGAAGCAGAGTGCGGCCAGGCTCAGCACCCGGGGCCTGGCACAAAGTACAGAGAAATCACCTGTACTGAGGGGCAGCCCCGGACTATGAAGAAACCTTCGTTTCAAGACTTGAGACACTTGAGTCAACGAGTCCCCTGCTTGTCCCTAACTAGCCCTGGCACGGTTAGAAGTCACCTCTCCACTCACGACATGCTAAACGAGCAACTCTTAAGGTCCCTTCCAGCTCTGACATCCAGAAAAGTCCACCTGCTCCCACCGCCGTGACCAGGAATAAATTCAAGTCCATTTGCTGATGCTCTGGAGCCCCCACCTGCAAAGCGGGAACTGTGATCCCCAACTGGGGGCGCGCGTCCCCCTAAAGAGAACCTGCTAGGATGGGCGCGGGGGAGGGAAGGGCTGGCTGGGAAGCTGTTTCCAACCACACCCGCCCTCCCGTCGGAAGGAAGTGCGCCAAGTTCCGCAGATGCAGATGCTGGGGAAGGAAAAAAGGGAGGAAGGCGGGGGCTGCCGCTGCCGCACAGGGATGGAACTTTGGTCGCCCTTGCACCTGGAGATGGAGCTGCAGAGTCGCACCCCGGGGCGCCGGGGCTGCAAAGAAGGGGGTGCAGCGCGCCCGCCGGGAGCCCGGAGGGAGGGCCCGGGCCTTGGCTCACTCACCCACAGGCTGCTGAAGTAGTCCAGCCCGCGGCAGATGAGCAGGCCGGCGTGCGCCAGCAGCACCTGCACGCCCAGGTAGCTGCCCAGGCTGTAGAGGCCGTAGAGGAGCGGGCCGCCCGCGCCCAGCAGCAGCAGCAGGCGGCGGCGGCGCAGCGCCTGCTCGCCCAGCGCCTCGACGCCGTAGTCGGCGAAGCAGAGCGGCAGCAGCAGCGCGGCCAGCAGGATGGGCGTGCGCGCGCGGTGCAGGCGCAGCAGCCAGCGGCGGCCCCGGCGCGTCAGCGAGTTCTTGAAGGGGTGAAGGAAGGTGCCGCACAGCACGGCCCACAGCAGCGGCCGCAGGAAGGCCTCCAGGATGAAGTAGACGAGCACGGCGGCGGCGCAGCACAGGCACACGAACAGCACGGCCCCGGTGTTGTAGAAGGCCTGCTTGATGGGCTTGTCGAAGCGGAGCGCCAGCACCGCCGTCCGCGGGGTTTCGCCGGCGCTGCCGCTGCCGCCGCCGCCGCCACCACCACCACCCGGCTCGGCCGCGCGTGGGGCTGGCGTCCGGCCCGGGGAGTCCCCGGGACCCGACACCTCGGCGGGACCGCCGCCGCCGCCGTCGGCCATGGTGCCTCTGCTGCGGCCGCCCAGAGGCGGTACTGGGAAGCCGGAGAGAGTCACCAACGAGAAGCCGGGCGGGCGGCGCGCGGCGTTGTGGGAGTTGTAGTTCCGATTCGGCAGCCGAGCGCTTACAAGGGCCTTTGGCAAACTACAAATCCCAGAAAGTGTAGGGAAAACCCCTCCGCTCCACTGGATCCAGGTAACAGGTTTCTGAGTTCAAAATCTTATTGGAGGAAAAGGAAGGGGGAAAAAAAACAACAACAACAAAAAAACTCCCTTCTTCGATTGGTTAATGTCAACTTTTCGGCAAGCGGAATCCCAAAAGTGGCACTCCATTGACAGATGGAAAACCCAGGTTGCAGATTAGAATCCCGAGGGGGAGTACTTATAAAACACTTGATTCCCCGGTTCTATTTGGCAGGATTTTACTTAGCGATTATCTATGTCAGGCCCTGTTTTAAGCGCCTCATTCCTATGAACTCAATCCTTAGGACAACCCCACAAAAAAGGTGGTGTTATTATTGACCCTTTACAAAGGGGAATACCGAAGCACAGAGAAGCTGAATATCTTGCTGAGGTCAGACAGCTAGGAGGTGACAGAGGAAGGATTCTAACTCAGAGTCTGGCTCCTACTTCTATTATCTTAACTATTTTGCTAACTGGACTGACAGGGATCCGTTGGCATATTTTTTAAAGCTCCTCAGAGAACTGGACTGTGCAATCACTGTTGACAACTGTTGGTGCAGGTGGCAGTGCGGGAGCAATCTAAACTCTAGATCAGTCTCATAGTACCACTATTTCTTTTTGAGACCTGAAGTCGGGTCAAGTAAGCCCCCAACCTCATTCCTCCCTCCCGCCTCCCCCTCCCCCCCAATCTCTTCCCTCCCTCCTCCCAAGGGTATAATGATAATAGAAGCTCTCATCTCAGAAGAGAAAAAGGAAACTCTGGGGTAGAGCAAGTTGCTTCTGTTCTGTCGGAAGTGTCTTACAATCCAAGTTTATCTCAAACAGCACCTTTATTTAAAAAGGAGGATGGAAGGAAGGAAGAGCAAAGAAGGAAACATTTACCAAGTACCCAATATGTGAGTGCTTCAAAACCCTGCAAGTTTACCCTTTCCAGTTGTCAATAAGTTTTAAAGTAAAAGAAAAAGTAATTCCTTTCCATTTTATTTTTGGGTTTCAGGTCACAGTTCTTGCTTTCCAAGTGGTCTTTGAACTCTGACTTATTCTGTAAATATTTTGCTTCAGTTGTCCTGCATTTTGCTTTGCTTCTTAACTACTTTGTATAGCACTGCTGAGATTATGATTACAAATTATGGTCACATTTGCTTTTAGTGTCCATTTTACACTGATTCAAACTCCCATTTATATAACAATAGTGCCTCAGTCTCCCTCCCAAAAAATGCTCAGTAATTTCTAGGGAATCTCAAAGGGATACCTCACATATACCCAGAAACATGAGTCAACAACCACCAGCTAGCCTGTGTCCACCCTGCTACCCACACAGCCCACTGGGTTCAGTGCCTATCATAAGATTGTCAGAGCCTTTGTCATTATTCCCAGATCTTGAATACTCGTGTCATTATTCTAATCTTCAGGATTCCAAAGCAGAGCTGGGTTCCACTCACAGGTGGGGAGGAAGTCCTTCTCCCTAACTTGCATACTCTTTGCTCTTTTATTACTCAAACCCTAAACCAGGTCACTTGTGCCCAATGTATTATATCTCCTGTCATGAAGCGTTCCTTCCAGATCTAACTTTTAGTCCTCTAAACCACAGAGTTTCAAAACCCATCCAAGGGGTTAGTGAAGGAACAAAGACTAAACCACCCACCTCCTCCTCCAACCAAAGACTCTGCTTTCTTCCTCTAATTACAAAAAGATCCCATCCTATATAATAAAAGCTTAATATGCAAATTGTCCCCTCAGGTGGTTGTTCGACAGGGAGTTCTACTGCTCGCTATGATGTGCCCTGACCAGCAGGGGGGCGGGGCGGAACATGTTAGTGTTAGCAACTCGGAGCTGACAGCAGGCAGCAGTGGGGCAATGGGCCCCAACGAAAGTGGGGCTGTGGAGCAGGTGAGTGAGTGGCACCAAGCAAGGTTGGTGTGAGTGGGGTCCAGTCCCTAAAGATGGTAACCCCTGCCCTGCTCCCAGGTGCTAAGGGAGCAGGGCAGGGGTCCCGCCCCATCGATCGCCCACAGGTGAGATTGTGGAACAGGTGAGGGGGCAGCATCAGGCCATGGCAGTGTGCCAGGCGGGGCTGTCGGGCTGTCAGGCTGGGGGCTCTAGCTTGGGGGCGGGGGCAGCTGGGGTCTGATCCCCGCAGGCCACCCTGAGGGACCCTACCCGTGCATGAATTTGTGCACCTGGCCACTAGTATTACATAAAAGCATCTATGAGTGCCTGCAAACAGAAACTGACGTGCATTGGACAGGAGGGGTAATGTTGCCTAAATTGTGTTAGGGACCCAGCTCAGCAGATCAAAAATGCCCTGTCTTGGCACTCTGCTTCCAAGTCCCAATGAAAGGCAACATTTCAGCTGTTTTAATAGAACTGACACTTCTCCAGCAGGATTTCTACTTGAGAACCTAACTCCAACAGAAATGAAGATTGAAGCACTAGACCACATGTGTCAAACACAAGGCCCGCGGGCCAAATCCATCCCGCCAGGCCTTGCAATGTGGCCTGCACCGCGCTGTCATCACTGCACTCCGCTGCATTTTCATCACAATGACAGTTTATGACTGTTCAGTAAACCATTCGGCCCGCGATTTAGGCTGGATTTTAGATTTTGGCCCCTTCTCTGATTGAGTTCGACACCCCTACACTAGACAAGGGACTGGCGTTTATATGGCCTAACACAAGGAGGCTGCTTTCCCACAGGACTTTGCTCACCCTCTGATGGCACTCACCACACTGCAGCCAAAGCTGGTGGTTTACATGGCTTTGCTGCATTTCCGTGTCCCAGCAACTGACACAACATTGGGAATAGTTCCTGCCCCCAGGTTCCTGTCCTTCCAGTCTGTGCCATCCAGCTGCAGCTAACCTTCCACCCCATGTCAACAAGGATAATGGTATCAGTGTGTTAAAGGGCCAGTGAAAAGATTTTAAATTGGTTCAACCAACTTAGTTGAGACCCATGTACCCAGAAAAGAGCCAAATGAATAAAAAAAACTTGGGAAATTCTTTGGGGGGAGAAAGAGGAGAGGAATACTTTTGTAAAAAGTCTGCAAAGTGACTCCAATTTCCTCTTCTAGAGTGTGAGGAGGTTAGCAGGGAGAAGGGCATTTGCAAGGTATATTTTGTGATTAGATCATTACTAAAAACCAGAATTGCTGGTCTGGAGAGTGCCTGGCCTTAAGTGTCCTTTACTGGTGGCGCCTCATCTTTACAGGGGTGATTTTTATCTGGAACATTTTATCTGGAATGGTTGAAATGTAGGAGTTAGGGATGAGGATTTGGAATTCTTAGCCCGCCCCTTCCTCGGCTCTACTGGCAGCAATACTCCAGCCAAAGCGGAGGTCATCTATAAACAGCCAGCCTCCTGCTCCAAATCAGAGCAAGACTGAGAACCAGAGCGTGGTGGATACATTTCAAATTGGCCAGACCAATCCCTCTTTATTTATAAATGAACTATGTTCATCTGAGAACCAACTCCTGCTGGCTTTCCATCCTAAGAGTCACTTATTTGTACCCTCTTGACACCCCTCTGGTGTCATTGCCCTTTTAGGTCACTCCAATCAACTCTCTGCATTGCAACCAGCATGATCTTTCTAAAATATAATCTGATCCCTTCAAAACCTCCTTACCCTGTGGGAAGGTGTCCAAACCCTTGACTACAAACATCCAAAGTCCAAGATGAGGGACCTGCCTCCCTTCTCTCAGTTCCCTCCCTGTCCATTATCCCCCAGCAATGTGGTGGCCCCCAAAGATATCCAGAGTATAATCCCCAGAACCTGTGAGGTGTGTCACTTGACCTGGTAACAGGCACTTTGCAAATAAGATTAAGATTTTGCAATGGGGAGATTATCCTGGATTATACAGATGGGGCCTAAGTGTAATGACACGAATATTTATGGAGTGGGAGGGAGGTTAGACTACAGAAGAGAACTGATCTGACCACAGAGGTGGACATGGGTGTGAAGGGAGACCCACCCCTGCCAAAAGCTGGAAGAGGCGAGAAAGGACCTTCTCCCTTGTGGTTCCCAGGAGAAAGCAGCCCTGCCAACACCTTGGTTTTAGCTCCAGAAGATTCAATTCTGACTTCGAGCCCCCAGAACTGCAAGAGAACACCTCTGTTATTTTTATAGCAGCAGTAGGAAATGAAGACAAACCTTGCCAAAAGACAGGGTGGTCCGCAAACACAGCCTGCTGGTCTTCCTTCTGGGGTTGCTCTCCCCTTTCTTGGCAATGCTTCTTCACACCCTTCATCTGCTTTCCTGGCTCTTCCTTCAGATTCAGCATCACCACCGCCTCCTGTTTTCCAGGCTGCCCCAGGCTGGGTGAGGGTCCCTAGCCCAGGTCTGCACCACAACTGAGCATTTTCTTATGGCTCTAGTCACCCAAAGGCATTATCGTGGCGTTTATGTGTCTGATTCCCTAATGAGGCTTGTGAGCCTCTTAGCATCAGAAATACAGAGCTGTTCTCCCTGGAGTCCTCCACAGGGATTGGCACAGAAGAGTTCTCAGTAAATGTATGTTGAGTGAATGAATGACAAATGATTAAAACTTCTTGACCTCCTGGATACAGATGGTTTTATTCATTCCATCTCAGCTGTCTCTTCTTATCGCCTGTCCCCTGGCCCTTACACCTGGGACTGAGCCCTAAGAAATTTCCAAGTCAGGCATCAATTAGGGTCAAGACAGACATCTGGGCTACCCACTGAGAATATGGCAAAATAAATATCACAGGGGAACAGTTAATATGCAACACAAAACACAAAAACCAACAAAACGTATTTTTTTTTGGGGGGGGGGGTGGTGGTGAGGATTAGAGCCCATAGTGCAGAATGTGGTAATGTCTACTGGTAATGCTTTCTTAACATTCCTTGAGT